ACCCTACCTTCCTATATCTCTTCGCGCCTCGTTTGACTGCATATCATACGGAACGGTTTATTCGTTCTAATCGAGAGATCCTGTCTGGCGTAGCTCTAATGTATTAAATAAAAGAAAGATTTTACAGTATAAAATAATAATTTTATTACACTGAATGTGACATAATTATTATCGATAATCAGTAATAATATTGCAACACTTAGTTATTATATAATTTTCAAGGAACCAGCACAATGGCACTATACTTCATTTTGCTCTTTAGTATTCGGCTATTCGTTAAAAAATGTGTGATGCATTATAATATCTAATTATAAAAAAAGTATAGTAAATAACATGCCAATTTTCTAATTAATATTTAAGGGTAATTTTATATATTTTAGGGCTGTTGTCATCACTGTACGAAAGGAAAAACTCACACCACACCTAACGAAGACATACAATTTAGTATTGAAAAAAGTTCTTTATAATATGCGAGTCGGATACAATGGACTAGCAAGTAGAGACAGTTTTCGATTAGGTAAAAGTTTACAATCACTAATTAATGCTGAGGTACTTAAATGCAGATAGCTGTAGCTTGTATAACATGAACTTAGGATATGGGGCGTGCTAACCGTCTTCAATACTGCTAGTACGTTCACAAATTCTCATATAAAAAAAGATATAAATCAAACGAGGATTTTTTACTTACATACTACCCTTGAACGTTAACAAAGAAATAACAAGAAATTAATGTGACATTCGGCTTGCTCTTACAGTGAATAATACTTATAATATCAATAGAATAACAAAATTACTATCTGTTTGAGTTTATATTAAAAAAAACAAATAGAAACAACGAAATCAAATGCAATTACAAGTAACACGTTGAACACGATTAAGTGATATTTTACTTTGTATGTCATTACAAGTCTTTTTTTAGGAAATATCTAGTATCGTTGCTTCAGGTGGGATACATCACTAAAAATTACTATTGAAGCCAGAACAAGAGTGGCGGAACAATCAGTCTGTTTAAACTTGCTATTGTCATATGATAAATGGATGATATCTAATGGGGCAGACAATTTATACAACAGCTTAAAACCAAAATTAAGTCGTATATTGCTGTAAATTGAAATAGTCAATAATGTTAAATTTATGCCTGTTTTTCAACAGGCATCTGAAATATACTGTTACCGATGTTTCCATCGGTAACAGTATATTTCAGATGTTCTGTATTTTCGAAGCTTTATATAACTAGAACAGAGAAGAACTAAACATCCATAAAGTGAATAATACCTCTCTCGGAATCCCGGAATGTATTCATTTCTATATTTTGAAAGTGTACTAATACTTTGCTAAGGTGCTTTTAAAAAAAAGTGTCGTTGAAAATGTAACTATAATTAAGTAGGAACTAAGGTTTTGGACTCAACTCCCAACTTTTTGCGTTAGCTGTCAATGTGGGAAAAGGAGAGCGGGACACGGATACATTCGAGACATCAATAATGCTGCGCTGCCTGCGTGATGGAGTCGATCTTCTTATCGCTATTTTGATTATATTTTTAATCATTTTTTTAACTGCCTCTGTGGCCGAACGGTTACTATGCCGGACTGCCACCCAGGGGTCCCAGGTTCGATTCCCGGGCCGGGAGAAATGTTTGTATAGCTTACATTTACTTCTCTCGTGAGTTTGGGTGTAATTTGTGGTTGTCTATGTGTGTGTCCATGGCACCCGCGACACAGGGTTTCCCTAGTGCGGGGCTATGTTGAGTGTGTGCGTTATTTATTATTTATTTATTATTCCAGGCTTTCAGAGGGAGGTATTCTACTCCATGACACTACTAGAAGTTTAGGTAAATACACACAGCCTATACGATCTCTGTTAATGGGGTTTCACATAGCTAAATAATCTCCCACAAATTCTATTACAGAATTATACACTTTTTAGACAGATGGCAGGATGCATTGGCCATCTTACATTTCTCTATTAATAATATCTATCCAGGACTGGTTTGTCTCCGCCTTTCGATATTCTTGACATTTTTCGACAATCAATCAAAACAATGAATTTCGAAAGACTGTCAATAGTATTAGTCAATTGTATACCAGTATGTTGAGGGGCACTTACCACTACAACAGTTAGGGCACTTAACCCAATCGTTATTGAGGTAAGTACCCCAACAACAGTCGTTTCTATAAACATGGGGAACTGCTGGAATATTACCCACAACCTATTGACTAATACTATGATGTTGAGTAACTTACCTCAACTAGTTGAGGTAAGTTCCCCCACTACAGTCAGTTATCTAAATATGGGGAGCTACCGGAATACTACCCATATAGTATTCTGGGATATATTGCATACATACACTTACTATTGTCTTTCAATTTACATAATAAACGTATTTTGATAATAACTACAGGCGAGCCGTATTTTGTCTCGAGGTAGTACAGAAATGTATAAATGCAGGTCATTCATCTAATTCGCTTAAACAAAGCGAATGAACGCGTCAGCCAGGAACATGTTATAATATTCACAAAACAAATTATTGTTATTTTAAATACTCAAATGGAACTGATTCTTTTACATAAATAATAATTAATAGGAGACTTAAACAACTATCTACAAATATAAATTATCAAGTTTTATGGGCTTAGCTCGCACAATCTTGCCGCAAAGTCAGTAAAACGTGGATAAGGCTGTTTTATCTAACGAACGGCGCGGAGAAAAATCGTTTCGTAATACAGTTGTGTTTAATTATTGTGACATCGCCTCGTCGCTTAGTGTATAACGAATTTCAATGGTTTGGTACTACGCTTTGTTAGGACAATGGGCCTAAAATTTGCGATAAATTTAGCAAAACACTGTACGTTCGTAACAAGATAGGATACATTGTAATAGACGTTGTAAGCTTCTCTGTCTTGTCACGACGTAACAGGAATACGAGTGAGTAATTCAGCTGCGTATTTTCCAAAAATTTGTTCTTAATTAATAAAAGAAAAATCGCATAACATGAAAATTATTGCCGGACATGTTTTTCACCGCACCGCAGTACGCTTAGGTTAAATCATGCAATGTATCTTGCAATAATATATTTCAATGTCCTAATTTTTACATTATTATTATAATACAAAATGATACAAAATATTGGCAATAAGTTTACAATAGGAAGTAACATTGTCAAATTTCAGCGACAGTGTACATGTGGTAGATTGTTGAAGAAGACATTTTTTATTCATAAAAGCTGACAATAAAATATTAGATCTTTCAGACAATCGCATTAGGGCTTTCATTCCGGAAATATCGGTCTCGAAAATTTTTTGGCATTTCAAAATATCCAGATTTATACCATTTAAATCACTTAATTAATCAATATTTTAAAAAAATCTACTAAACCAACATTTTTTTTTTGTAATTCTGGTTACAATTAGAGATTGAAAATCGGTAGTAATAAAATTAGGTCTACTCTATCTGAAACTACGTTAAACCTTACTTTTTTTACGGGTCCACTATAAAAGTGAAAAACTCATAAATATTTTTTTACTTTATAATTTGAGTTAATCTAAATACGCCTTTAAACATGGAAATCTAATTTTGAAAAAGTCTCAAAAAATCTTTTTTTTTCGGGAGTTTAAAGACCGCACAGAATCGACTTTCTCAACTGAAAGCCCTACATCTATTCATTTTCAAATCTATTATGATTACGACAGCCGTCAGTTTCAAGTGATAGTATATTCGAGCAACTTTTATTTATTTGTGGAGTAATAAAGATAAAAAAAATTTTTTTCACGGTGTTCCTGTCGATTATTATGCACGGCTTATAAACGTCACTGGAAGTAAGGGACTCACCACACTGATTGATAGCAAAACGAACTGACTTGAGTTGGTCGGAAAAAGCAATTTTTTTTATAATGTCAAATGACGGGACGAACAAGTCGTGCGCCTGATGGTAAACTCCACGCCTGTTCATAACAGTTGCTGTGCTACTCAAATCTCTAAATAGCAAAGATCTGAGGGACACTGCCACTGCGCCTATCACCCTGAGACATAAGTTGATAAGTCCCAAGTGCCTGTAATTTCACCAGCACCCTTACCCTTCAAAACCGGAACAAAATAAAGACATTACTGCTTGGCGGCAGAAATAAGTAAGGTGGCAGTACTTCCCTGGACGAACTCTTTCACAAGGAGCTCTAGTGCTACTGAAATTTTTATGCAATTGCTTTGTTGCTTTATGTTCAATGAACATTGTTCAACACACAAGATTGTTCATGCAATAAGGGCGAAGAAGACCCAAACCAAATGGACATAAAACTTTTTCTAATCGGCTCAAGTCGATAAGTGTAATGACGCCCTAAAGGAACTGAAACACTCAAAACAATGTCCGCTTTAAAAGTATAATTTGATACGTGTTCGTCCCATCATTTTCTTTGATGACTCATAACTATTCAGATGCAGGAAGTTGGTTACAAGTAATATTGATGGATTGCAAGGCATAAGGGTTCTACTGACCCAACCCGCCGACCCGGCAACCAGCCCGACTTGGTGTCGCCTTATTTATAATCTAATCCTATGACATGATTCTAGAAACAAGGCCCCCGCCCCCCCCCCCCCCCCCCCCCCCGGATCGGCGGGTTCGGTCTGCAGACCCCTTTAACGATATTTCTTTTTAAACCGACATAATTATAGTGTAACAATCATAAGTTGACGCCTTTATCGGAGGAATTCATTTATGATTATTTTTTTTATTTAGCATCATCGAGCTATCTAAAAATTAAGTGTTCGACCGTAGCAATTTTGTATATGGTAATTTGTATAATTTACTTGAATATTGACATTTTCTATTAAAATTAATTATATATTGTAGGACAAGTACAAAATTCAAATTTGACATTTTGAGTACCTAACCACGAGTTTACAAAAGGGCTGATAGCTGGCCGTTCTATGGACACATCTAAATGTGAAAACATACTAAGCATTTTCACTTGCCGTATCAAATTAGAAACAACTTTTTTACGCCGGAGGTTAACCAAAAATAATAATAATGTACAATACAAAGAACAATAAAAAATGCCTACCCCGACGATAGTACGTGCAATCCATGTATATTATTAACTATGTTAAATTCTAAAGTTCATTCAAGTTAGAATAAAATAGGAAATTCAAATTCAGCAAACACTTTGATTTTAAATTCCAAAGTAAATTGTCATTTCTAATTTCGAATTTAAAGCCGTCTGTTAAAATTCCCTGCTGTGTTCTTAATGCAAAAGAAATAAAAACTGCCGGTGTTACCATATGAAATAGCCATTTCACAGCTGAATACTATTTACTCGTGCTTGCAGTCGGAGAGGGGAGGGGAACACGCCGAGCGATAACGTTTGCAGGTTCCGCAGCAAAACATTCAAAACTTGTGTCCAGGAAGAGTTCTTGCAAGAAACGGCGGGCACATAACATGTACGTGTCACGGGAGAGGAGAGCGCACACGTCAGAATACACGCATGGACTCCGAAACACTTCCGGATATCGTTGTTTGAGGGCGAGAAGTGATGAACGAGTCTGCAAAAGTTTAAGTAACTACAATTACAAATTGCCTAGTTAAATTTGCACAGCTATCATAACTTCATGGCGGATATTCTGAAATTTCTATACTTTCAACAGAAATGTCAATGTCATAAAAATTGTTGATTTTCAATAATTATAATTTTGTATTTAAAAAAAACGACCTCAAAAGTGTGTGGAATTAAATCTATTAGTCAAGTTTTATTGAAATCGGTTAACGGAAAATGGGAGAAATCCAATAAACCGGATTCATTCCCTAATTTGCCAGCCTTAGAGGTGAAATATTTTCTTCAAATTTGAATGGGACCGCTACTGAGGTACCCCCTTTCCAGCAACAAAAGAATCACCGAAACCGGTTCACAAATGTCTAGGTAATCGCATAACATACACACACGTCGAATTGAGAACCTCCTTATTTTTTTTAAGTCGGTTAACATAAGTGTCTAGTATATAGAGGTGTGAATCTGGTTAAAACCTAACCTAGTAAATGATCTCTTTATATAAAAAACAAAACAGAATATAATACAAGTAAATTCACCTGTCGTAAGTGTATGGGATTCGCCATAAAATGAACGTGATGTAATACTTCCGCTTGTGGAGACCGCTCAGGAATAGGGCTGCTTGCACCACGAGCCTCAACAGACGCATCCATCCCTGCAATATTACAGTGTTTGCACTCGATGAAAGGAATTGAATAAATAAAGTTACTTGTATAGTAGCCACGTCTTTCTAATTAGGAATGTAGACCAGCCCGATATTAAACCGAAAGTCAAATGTGAAAACAAAATTTTAATCGATGAAAAAGAAACTTTCCGAAGTTATACTAACTTTTAACACATCAACACATAACAAACTACATCAATAAAGTTCCTAATGAGGAGAAAGCTTAGCGTATATAACTCTGAAGGCGCGATCAGAGATGGACAAGCGTCCGGGTTTTAACCCGGCGTAAAAACACCCGGTGTAAAAACTAATTACAACTAAATATTTGTTAATCGAGTTTAATTAAATTTTTATTGAATTGATATTCAATTTTTTTTTTGTGAAATTACTCCACTAGTTTGTTATAATTCGTTTATAATTAATCGAGTTTAGTTCAAATGTTATATTATTACAAAATGTTTATTGCTTAAATAAATGTTTATTTAATGGCCAGGTAATGAGGGGCAATAGATACCGGATTCTTCAACATATAATACAAGGAAAGCGTAGTCGTGGCAGAAGAAAAACCTCGTGGTTGAAGAATCTGAGAGACTCGTACCACATTAGCACACGTTTCGTGCGGCCGCTTCAAAAATGAGAATAGCCATGATGGTCGCCAACCTTCGTAGAGAAGCGGCACACTAAGAAGTTTATTACTTCCTTACATATTTTGTCTTTCTATTGAATCGATTCGCTTGAAAATCGCATTGATATGAATCGATTTAAATATAAAATCGTTACATCGTATATACTTCAATCGATTTTCATTAAAATAGAATCGTAAAGTGCATCCCTAGTCGTAAGTGAGAGTCCATATGATTGCAAGGTGGGTTTTGTGTGGAGTTGCCTTTTTCGTTTAAAAAAGAATTTTAACACGGAAATTTCTAATAAGTACGGAATTATACCAAAGTCCGCATCATTTTGCGCGTATAATAGATGATCAAACGAACTTCTTGAAGTGAAGTTCGATCACTATTATGTTAGTCGCTTCATTCGAAGATATAATATTTAACCAGGTAGTTTTTTTTAACTTACTAGGCAACAGTGCATGGTTTTTAGAGAAAAAAAAATGTTTTGACGTTGACACTCCCTATCAGATATCAACCGCCATTTTCTATCCTCATTCCTTTTAGAGTGGGAAACAAAACTTATTTGGGAGTTTCAGAATCTTTACTTCTGATATGACGATGTCAAGGGACAGAGGGTGTTGATTATATCTTTGAATGTAATGACTCACATAATAGTGATCGAACTTCACTTCAAGAAGTTCGTTTGATCATCTATTATATTTCGTTGCTTCATTCTCGATATAATATTTAACCAGGTTTTAGAGTATTCAGTTTTGCTTCTAGTTCATTTTATGTAAATTAAAAACCAGAGGCTTAATCGATAACTATATTATATTTTTCTTAAATATATATATATATACACACACAACATACAACGTTTACACACATTTAACATTAAACATATAACGATTTTTCTCCTGAGATCACGATCAAAGCAATTTTTAAAACGTACAACCATATAATAATTTTATAAATAAAGATTATTATTATTAATTTAGAATAGTATAATTTGCCGTTTTATTACGTTGTAAGCAAATGGTTCTTGCGAACGTGTGTTCGCCTTCAGTAAGCATTAGTCTATTATAAAATCTAGTAAAGGATGTGAGATGTCGGAGCCCAACTCGCAGCCTTGCGTATGAGCTCTATCGGCACCTCTGGAGTGGAGGCGTACCGCGTGCTATGCGCGCCGAAAATTGCTGTGTCCACACCCGCCGCGCCCTATCCAACATCTGCCGTACACATCGGCTCACGGTCTGACTCGTGACTACTTTGTGGGGAGTTCTGTGTGTCAGCAAGAGCGTTCCCTGACATCCAGTTGTCTTATTTTGTGTTACAAAAAAAAATATAATGTTTGAAAACTGCGACAAGGCAAATACTTGGATCCTCTCTAAAATATGGAAAATTTAATGTGGCCTGTACGCGACCAGGCACAAACTTTTTGATTTAATCAGGTATTGCAATTTTAATCGGAATATCTGATATTTGTATGTTTTTCATTTTAATCAATGCCAGTTTGTACGCGGTGTGCAGTAGTACAAAGTGCAAGTAAAATGACATGTTTTTTCGTAAGTTTTTCAAGAGGAAGTTTTGTGTTGGGAAACCACATTGAAACTAATACGAGAACGGCTTGGGCATTCCAACTATTACTATACTTTGGTGCACTGGATTTCAACCTTTTTATGCGACCGTCTGAGCCTGTTTCAGGCTTTAAAAGAGATAAAGCAGAGCGATGGCTGTTCAAGGTTCCATACGAACTTATAATTCCTACGTTAAGAATTCTATTATTTATGTCATTGATATGTTAAAGGGATTTAGACTGTTATTATTGCAAAATTCTCACCAGAGCTTTAGGGACACATTATATTGTGTAAGTGTATTTTAAGAAAGAAAAGCTAAGGGCAAAGTCATCGCCTCTTGTGGGACTCCGCGGAAGGCGAAGGGCGCCCTGATAACGGTAGAAAGGGTAGTGTGCAGTCGATGAGGCCGCCTGCATTAAGATTTAGTAATGATTCGCTTGAGTTAAAATATATCACGTCAGAAACCAACAGGCTTTGCAGCAGGAGGAACCATGGCTGGGAAGGCCAATATGGAAAACCAAGAGTACCATTTGCTTGGTCATCAATAATTTTGCGTATGCATTTGAATAATAAAAAGAAAGGTTGCGCAGAAAAAAAAGGGAATGCCAATTATGTGTAAAGGCATCTACAGCAAATGCATCCTGAAACCGAGAGACAAAAATAACGGATTTGGCATTGGTGCGGGATGCAAAAAGATCAATCTCGGGTTGTCCGAAACGTCTGACAATGGTCGGGAAGGCGCGAGAGGACATTTGTATTTAAATAATGTGCACATATGCATACACAATTATGTTGGGCTTTTCGCACCATTGCCAAATTTGTTTACTTAAATCGTTAAAGTAGGGTATTGGATCCCACCCTTGCGATTTATGCAACTAATCGCCGTAGTATTGCGTACTCGCAACAATGTAACGCAATCAGATTATACTAATATAATATAAGAATACTGCAATTCTTAGTAATTGATATGGTGCTTCTTCTCAACAGCCTTCCGTTGGCCTCCTGTGCTTCTCGCGCCACATACGGAATCCCAACCGGTGCGCGGCGCATCTGTATAATTTCTAATTTAAAACTTGAGGTATACGATATCATATACGATGAAATCGAGTAAATGTCGTCTGTCCATCAACTCAAATCACTTAGAATTATATCTGGATGATAAATTGTTGTTTCATAGTTACCATCATGTTTTTGAAGACTTAGAAATTTCTATATGTCCGGTAATTTTGTATATAACCAACCGTATTTAGTGGCTGTGCAAACTGAGATGAGGACACCAATCAATTGAGCGTACTCCCGTATGATACATCGGGGTAACCTCATTATTTTTTAAAGTAAATGGTAAATTTTTGGACTTTTTTCTAAAGGTAAACTTATACTTAAATTTCATGAATCAAAATTGAATCTTAGAAATTTACAAACTTAACAGGGTTGTAACACAGACTTGCCATAATTAACGATGAAGCCTAAACATTGCAATAAGTTAATGGTTGCTTTAACATTATTGATGCATGGTCATAATCAGCTGATATACAACAAATATCATCTAAATATACCACGAACTTAAATCCTTGTTGTCTCAAATGTGTTACAACTTCTTTCATGATTTTGGTAAACACTTATGATGCTGTGGACAAGCCGTATGCCAGAGCATAAATATAAATTCATAGGTTTCAATTTCATACGAACCACAAGGTAAATACTGAAATATTTGGTACATTCAATCTGCTTCGCAGATAGATGTCAGTGAATACACCCTTTTTAGGTCTATTGGCCATGAAACCCCTGGGTGGTATCAATTTTGAGGCAATTCGATAGTCCTCTTCCCACGACTACTACCGTTGCGTTTTGGGGCTAAAAAAGTACTAGAAATGTATTGATATTTTCTAGGACACCACTTAGTCACTGATCCCAAGTCAAGTAAGTTTTTAATTGTGATATGCCATTTTTTATTGTCGTCTGGCGATAAACTAATGCGGGGTATTACAGACTGGTGTTGGTACTTGTTTACATAATGGTATTGCTGACGAAATTGCATATTGGTTTTGCAGGTGGCTGTCGCCTAAAACCATTAACGATCTTCTTTACAATTGCATTAGATAGGTAATTGAGTTTTAACTACGGCGTGTTTCGTTAACACTTATTAATTGCACGTGTGTGCAATTTCTATTGAAATAACTCGCTGTCCTTATCGCGATTTCTTATCGCAGTTAACTCATGGTTAACCCCAACTTAATTTTATTTTAAATATACTTTTCTTACGACGTAGTTTAAAAAACGTACGTTACTTATTAGCACGTAGGTACTAATACTGTCCAAATTAAAATCGACTCGCAGTCGATTTCATTATCGTGTTTAACTAGTGGTTCACCCCGAGGCACTTTTATTATATAAAATGCATATATTAGTATATCTGTTCGGATTTTCATCCACCTATATTCGATTTGGTTATCGGGGATAACTCGCAGTTAACCCGATGTTTTATTAAATGTAGGTTCGATTAAAATTTGCGATGTAAGAAAGCGAACATTTATTATCATTGCGGAAGTAGCAAGTAGTGCTATATGATAAAGATGAATATTTAAAATTTTTTTATTTTCATTATTTATGAGCGTAAGAAAAAATCTTACCTTGATCAATGTCCGACTCGTACGATGATATTATGATCCTATAACGCCGACGACATTTGGCATCTACATTTTCCAAGTATTTCAGTTTACTTTTATAATATTCGATTTTTCCTAAGTTTGTTCGCTTTGACATTTTAACGGAGTTTTGGAGGTGTGCTTGTTGCCACGCACGAAAAAGGAATGAGGATAGAAAATGGCGGTTGATGCCTGGTAGGGGGTGTCAACGTCAAAGCATTTTTTTTTCTCTAAAAACCGCGCAATGTTGCCTAGCAAGTTAAGGAAACTATCTGGTTAAATGTTATATCGAGAATGAAGCGACGAAATACAATGGTTTCCGCCCACGAATTTGGGCAGAAATTAGTTAAAACACGGCGCCTTGGATAAAAACCCGGGCGGGTTGGTTGGGTTTTAGCCCAGTGCCCATCTCTGGGCGCTATCTATTGACAAACTTACCAGCGAAAAAGGCCTCACGCAGTTCATGTGTAGATCTCGGTGGTGGCCGGATCAATAATAAACAATCGACAGTAGAGTGCCGCCATCGGTCGATTTTATTCGTCAACGTATTCGTATTGCCCACTTCACTAGTTGGTGCACTCGTATTGACTGCTCCAGACGTAGGTTTAACGACTACTCCTTTACTCGATGTAGTACCAGCATCGCTAGCGGCTGTACTCGATTTAGTACCAGTGTCACTTGCCGCTGTACTAACATTTGATCGCACTCCACTAGTGGTGCTCGAGGTGGCTGCTATGTCGCTTGGTGTAGTATTAATATTTGGTTTAGTTTCAGTGGTGACATTGACATTGTCACTTGTGTTCACTGGTTTTTCATCATTGCTACATAAATTGGCCATAGTGTCTCCCAAGCCAGTTATGGTTGTGGTTATATTTTTGCCGTGACTTGGTCCATCGGCTACATCACCTCTTGCGCCAATATCGATTACATTTTTAATGCCAGTCTTATCAACTATATTCGTAAAGTTAGCCTCGGTTTTATTGAAACTTGGTTTATCTGTGTCCTTGGCACTTGGTGCTGTATCTACGATAGGGTCATTTACGTTGATTTCCTCTTCATTAACAACTTTGAACCCTGTTGCTCCTGTATTGGTACTTCTGGTTTCTAGTTTGGTGTTAGTTCCACCAGTGGGTAAGGCTGTACTAGCACTAGGTACTTCCGTAAGACTTGTCATGAGTTCTCTAGCTGTGCCCGTTCTGCTCAATATTGAACTGGGTCCTGCGCCGGCTGTGCTGGCCACGAAATTTGTTGCAGAACGTAGGACGTCACCACCTGAATTAAATTAGTGTTATATGAAAGAATGAATTTATACAAGGAAAATATTTTTTATAAATTCTGAGTGACCGTATTCACGAAACTCACTCTAATTTACTGCGTCATTAATTATTAAATTGCATGCGTAGTATGAATAACAAGATAGAAACAGATATATAATGTATTGTAGGATTATTCTTTGAATTTATTTTCACTTACTTCTAAGATAAGCTAACTTTTGGCTGTCAGGCGTCGCTCGCGATTTGTTATCGGTACTGGCATTACTAGAGTCGACGAGAAAGGACGGTACTCGGTTCCTTCGTGGCTGATCCTTCGTTGTCTCATCTTCCTCCTTCCCATCGCTCTCTCTATTGAGGACACATTAAACATTAACAGCACATTATAATTTGTTTGAAATGTGAAAGCGTGAACGGGTGACGTCAAATAAATTCTAAACACAGTGTAATTTTTAGTACTCCAAATGAAAGTTCTCTTATTACTCAGTTAAAAAACCTCGTGCTCAAGCGCTTTTGGTTTTAAGTTTTAGTTCGATACAGCCACGAATCAATTTTGGACAATTTTAGAGCTTTTGTAAATTTGCTCAGTTGCTTAGTTTTCGTAATGTAGGTCGAGCCCTCGAAGGTAGAGCTCTGACAATCTCTGATACTGATCTTAATAGACCTTGTATTGCGCACGAACATATTGCACATGACAAAAAATGCGTTATATTATATTTTGTATACGATTTAATTTCAAAGTGGTATTGTTGTCCTTTCACTTACATATTAAGTAATATACCAAAATACATGAATAACCCAATTTTTTAGATAATACAATAGTATAGCATGTTAGATTACACGTTATTATAAAAATTTTCATTGTGTTCTGGTTCACTTACCTCGGGAATAATTCTATAAGGTCTCTGGGCAGACAAATACCGATGTACGCAGGCGGGTGTGGCAAAGAGGGCGCGGGAATGCGACGCGGCGCGCGGGGCGGAGGCTGAGGCGACTGTCGGCCATCGGCCAGGGAAAGAGGCTTCCAATCGTAGTCAAGTAAGCTGGTAAAATGTATGGCTTAAGATATTTATTCTTAATAAGGATCACAAGTAATTCACTTACATGAGAACACAGAACAGGGAAACATATAACAAAAATTATTTGAAAACATACACGGACGGTAGTTCAACTACAAATATATTACAGATTAATCTACAGACATATCATAAACCCTATATGATGTGTTCAAAAACCGCAAATTACGACCAGCATAAAGATAAACTGTTTTGTTGGAACACATTTCTTGTCTGTGAAAATGCTATTATGGCATAATAACTGAAAAACAAAACAATTTTATTTGACCTCAATTCTAATATTAGTCGAGACGAAGTTTTATTCGAAATGAAATGTCAATAGCAAACAATTTTGACAAATTTCACGTTACTTTATATCGAACGATATGGTTAGTTGGGGCCGACTCTAGTTTGTCTATGAATTAAATAAAGCCTACAGTTGTGTAACATGCGTGAGAAAAGTTTTTATTTACCGCCATTTCGCCAGTCGTAGTATGTGGTTGCTGAGCACACCATAGAGAGCTTATAATGTGTATAGAAAAAGCAGTGTGTGTACACTCGTGTGATGTTTTTATAAAACTCGCCTGTCGGCACGTTTCATAAACCCACACTCGTACTTCAATGCCTTTCATTATGTAACAGTCACATAACCTACTATTTACCGTCATTCTAATGCAACAACAGATAACATGTCTCAGGTGCCAGCTGTAAGTACTCTACTACAACTCCAAACTACGCCCGATGCATATACTAAATGAAACGTGGCTTATTATATTCATTATGTTGTGAAGCCATACGCCGTAGCTTTGGTCAATAACGCAACCACGTGCGGAATTAATACAAAATTCGAGAAGGGTTAGAGTTAAGGTCATAGATAAAATATTATTGAATTACTGTTTACAAAATATAAATGTTTTATGGAGATTTTTAGTGAAATAACTCCACTAGTTTTGTTATGAATACAAAGATCGAACGCTCACGTTCATGCTGCACCGTAACATTGCTCTAACCAACGGAGTCACGGGTCTGGTTACCGAGTCGTCCAAATTGTCCTATGTGTTTTTGTTATAGATATTTGTACTGACTTTTCGGCATTCGTCGCCGCTAGTGACATTTAGTGAGAGATTTTTGAATGTTAAGGTGACAAGGTTAGGTTAGTAAGGTTTGTTTGAAAAAACAAATATACGCGATTTAAATTCGGAAAAATAGTTTCATTTCCTATGCGAAGAGGTTATTCAAAAATTTATGGCAAATATCAAAGCTTAGATAAGTTAGAACAAACAAATTAATGAAATAAAATTGAAACAAAATAGTAACGGGGGTATCAAGTGCTAAGCTTATACTTATAACTATAACAACTCGGAATTTTAGTATAGCCAAAGAATTACGTAACTGCTTTTTCCTTCTCCGCCTCGGGAAATTTGCATTCCACACAACAAACAAACAGCAATGACATTAAAATATTGCCAAATTTGCAATTTTTTTTCCACTGTTAACATGTTTCTGTTGTGTATTTGTTCGAATAAATTAATCGTTTTTATAAAAACCAAGTCACAAATCAAACGTCAATGTGAAAGTGCAATCATTCCCTTATCAATCACTCACGGCGATGCGCGCTGTAAACCGATCTCGACATGTTTACGGTAATGGGTCAGATATATAAGTGCTCGCCGGATATTCGGCCTAAGTGCTCGCCGGATATCCGGTATCCGGCCAAATCACTGTCCGTTTCATCTCTAGTGATTAGTATGATTGTATAGTTCAGTATTATTACTAAAAACGAAACGATAGATCCACTTTTCAGTGTAAATAAGTCACTTATCAGAATTTAAATAAATAAAACACATACCTTAATTTAGTCATGCGCTCTCTAGTAGACTTCGCTCTATCTCGCAGTGAAGAGAATGGCTTCGATCGTCGATCGGTGCCCGTAATCAACCAACAAAGGTCGTCGATTTCGTTCGTGCCTGTCGCCGCGCTTTCTGATACGTGAGGTCTATAAATTATATAATAAAAATAGTTAATCTGTATATAGTCCCACTACTGGGCACAGTGCAAAATTCATGTATGAAAAATTATGAATTACTAATTTTTTTATACATGAAACATCCAAATATAAAATAATTATGTATTTAATATCATTTAAAGAAATATTGTAGAAAAAGAAATTAAATGTCGGTTATATAATACCACTTTTGCGCTGATAGCCTCAATTAAGGCCTGTGTGCTATGAAATGAAATCAAATACAAACAGAAACTTAATACATACCGCCTATTCAATGATTTTAATGTGGCATATCCAGTCATGTCCATTTGCGTAGGAGGCGAACTTGCTACGTCTGGAGTTGTGAAACCTACGAAATACAGTACAACGTGTGTTGTTAATCGTCAGAAATAAATCGAAACATTGAGTATGAACTCTCTTCGCAGCTCTATTAATACTGATTTGGAGTCATCAGCTTGAAACAACAGAAGACAAAAGACGTGGTTTTATTTCATTGACAGCCTTCAACGAGAACTATAATAAAAATGTTATGTTTCTTACTCGAGGTAGAAGTCCGTCGTTGCAAATCGGATATTTTCGGACGCTGCGAACTGCTGGTGCTCTTCATGCCGTACAAGCTGGACGAGCTCGGAATAGGACTGAGGGTTAGCTCTCTCACTCTGTCACTACAATCCGAACAATAATTTAACTTTCAAAACAGTATAGCATTACAAATAAACTTAACCCAACTCAGTCCTTACACCACAAAATTACATAACAATCCGTTCAATTCCGTGAAATTCCGTTCCGTTTTAAGTTACATAGTATTAAAAATCCTTGACGATTTTCTGGAAAACGCAGGTAAAAAAATTGTTTATAATTCAGAATTTCTAGATTTTGAGTGCTCTTTACAAAAAACTAACCGATAGCCTGATTAAATTTTCCATCTATTTTAGTACCACTAACGGAACAACTCTTTTGAAAGAAATTTTCGATCTAATTTTATTGTACATAATCACAAATTGTCTGGTTCGAATGTATTGAATTTCCTGTATTTTAAGTTCCAAAGTAACAAAATTACTTAATTATACTTAGAGCACTGAGTCTAGAAATAATTAGTACCGAAACAACCTTCTCATGCTAAAAGAGTATGTCGCCAAACAAACTCGTCTTTTAAACATCTGGATATTTGATAAAAAACCGTATCAGATATCAGAACATCGAGTTCTTTAGTTTTCGCGATTGTTACGATTGTTACACATAGGAAACGAAAATATTTTTTTACAGATCTAAATCGCGTATATCTAGGATATACTATATGTATCCCACGGTCACAGCAGACTAATATCAACCGAAAAAATTGTTTGATAAACAAATATACGTGTTTTCGATACAAAAAAATTAATTATGATTATTATTATATCAAAATAACTGTACAAACTTACGGAATAGCATATTTCCCTAGGAAAGAATCGCAGCTGCTTACGCCACTCGTGCTAGACTCACTAGTGTTTCTGACTCTCCCTTCGTGAGCTTGTTCTAAAGAGTTCATTCTACCAATCAGCAGTCTGTTCTCCGCCCTCATATGCGGCAGACGCTCGTAGTTTGAACAATCTCTCAATATGTCTACAGTTCTTGATTCAGATAACGTCGGACGGTCATGTGAACTAGAACAACCTTGTATAGGCAGGGTGTTCGATTTCCTTTTCTCCGGTTCTCTACGGCCTTCGGGTACATTGATTTTATGATCAACCACGTCCTGGTCTTTTTGGTCATCCGTAGAAATTAACCCGGTTTTGTTTAGTTGTTTGGGATAATCATGCAAGCTCTCGGCCACGCTTTGTTCTGTATGATCGGAATGCTCGCTCGTGTCGACGTCATAGGTGTTATAACGGCGATCGGGAGACGTGATGTTTGATGGGTAATTGTGGACATTAACGTCGTATGTAAGGTAGGTTTCGTCTGTTATTACTGGGAATTGATCGTGTCGTGTATGTCGCACGCAGAGCCAACCTTGATAATGAAGAATAATAAATGATTAAGAAATATCCATTTTATCTGTATTACCCTACAACTAAAACCATTAGCCTGAATTTACATTCTTGCAGAACGGAATGGTGGTGAATTTTTGTAAAGAAATTGTACATTGCATTATGAACTTTATCGTCGTCTTAGAGTGAATATCTCGTATATGATTTCTATGTAAATTCTCAGGACGAAGATAAAAATGTGGTGTAAAATGTAGTAAAAGCAATAATGTTTATTGTTAGCATTTTAATCAGTAAATTATACCTCTTTCAGACACTACTTTTTTAATATACTTTTAGTTACTTTAATAATATATTTGAGATAAAAGTTAAAAATTTTTTCTTCAACAAAAATCAGTAAACACGAACTATGTGAAAACGCGCAAAGTTTTCACTCTAAGACGACGCCATATCAATTGTGTAACGTACAAACTAGATACGATACAGTAGCTGAATAGGGAATCCAGTGACACTCAACTGCGCAAAAATTTTTCAGATGACGCGAGACCTGTTTTTCGCTTGTGTCAGGTTTCAAAACAAAAATATACGCGATTTAATTTACTTAATACATTTCAAATGGTTTAATATATTTTAATTTAAGTCAGTCAGCCCGTGATAACGAGTGATGCAACCTGCCCGAAACTCTAATGTAATGTTTTATTTCCTTTTTAAAATGTCAGTAGTTAACAGCGTTGCATAATGCAACGCGAAAGTTTAAAAGTGTACGTATCGGGTTTCTACGTTACGCAATTCACTAATTTTAAATTCAATTCAACAATTTACAAAAATTATTCTGTTTCCCATTTAGTTTCGCGGCAATGTAAATTGAGTGTAACTAATGTGGTCATACGTCGCGCATTTAGGCTTCACGTCCCGCTATCCTCAAATAATTTAAAAGTGTCCCGCTTTCACGAAACAAAAAACACACGTAACAATAACTTTAAAAAAATGTCGTGAAAGTGAAAAATATATAAAGCCTACACAAGTTACTTCTTTTTTTTTTAATTCTTGATACATTAAACAATTCTAGTTCTTTCTATTTTTTTTTAAATCGTTAAACATTCGTAACTATCATAAAATGTGTGTTATTTTTAAAACAATAATAAATTTACAGGCGTCCCGTTCTGAGGGAAAAGATAATGGTCACGTTAATCTTAACTCAAAAATTATTACTTACCTAAATCAGCCAGCAGATTAGCGCCATCAAATGTGCTGCCAAAAAGTCCTAGAACGTAGAAAGCGGTTGCTCTCACAGAATATACAGGGCTGTATCTGACAAGTCGCACTATATGCACCGGTACTGAATCCTCCAAGTATCCGTTAGTCAAATGCATGATTTGCTGCAGTCCATGAGGGGTAACAGCTGTGTTACCAAGAGCCCATAGAGACGCCTTTAGGTCCATTATTTCCTGTTCGCTCGTGCACTTTTTTCGCTGCAGGATCTAAAAGAAATATCATACACGTAATGTATTTTTGTCAAACATGGTCGGAAACGTTTGCATTGCTTAAAAAAAAAGATTCGACAAAATTTGTCATTTATGGAGCGGCTGTATATAAGTATAAACAAATCATACATATACTAACAAAGTGCTATGTAAACAGACTAAAGAAAAACTGTCATACAGCCAACTGCTCCCTAGCATCATTAAAAAATATCGTCTGTGGTGTTACTTATTTTGCGTTTAATTATGGTGCACGAATATACTTGCACCACATACTTAAAAAAATGCGGTAAAATAACAGAAAATAGTTTAAAGTTGTATTTCTTTTTCTTTGCTTCAGTTTTTTTGCATTTTGTATATATTTTCTTCGCGAAAATTAGTTCCAGTGAAAAGAACGAAAATACATTAATGAACTGACGGTTTCTTCACCTAATTTAAAACAAGAAGCAAAATTTGTCATGGTAAACTTGGTTTGCTTTTTTTATTATCCATTCTCCTTCATTCAAACATGCAAATCATTTTCTTTTCAAGGAAATAGATAAGCACACGATCTCACCTAACGGTTACTGAACAAACTAAAACACGCGCGCGGAGAAAGTGTCTATTCACATACGCCTTGAAATATCTCAAAATAACCTACCCACAAACTCACTCACACCTTATAGAGGCCCAAGAAAATAGTTGCTGAGAAACGAACCTTGTAGTGCGTTGGCAACGTGGCAGCCAGCAACGCCCTGGCAAACGGTGCAGCTGGGCAGGCCGCCAAGGCAGCATGTAAGTTCGGCGGAACTCGCGCCGCCCGCCGCGTTCGGGCACCCGGACGACCTCCTTCGCAAAGGGTTAACGCTTCGTGGACAGCTGCTTCTATTAGACGCACGTATCTGTGGGTATAAGAACTCAGATGGTATACAGTGCATTTTTTAATCAGGACATACAGGGAAATTGTCTTAGGTGTTTCATTTCATCATTCAGTGTTTTTTTTTATATAAATAATTTTGGTATATATAAAGTTTTGGCAAAGCGTGAGGATTCAGTAACAATGAATAAAAATAATAAACATTTGCTTTTGAGTGAATCACATTTTCACGATAGAATTATCACTATATTATAAGAACATTTGTATTATCTGCGATTCATCACGGCGTCATTTACAGATTCAGATAACATTTTATGTTAACAATGTCCATTTCTATAGAAGACTCACACTTGAACAAAAATTTAACCATCACACCAAAACTATTTCCGTCAAAAAAAGATCAGACAATAAATATCGCTCTGTATACTAATACTAATTGTCAAGCAATTTACGTCTAAAATTTCACATGGTCAATCCACGCGTGGTACTGTAACAACTTTCCTTTGGAACACATATCCAATAATTCAAACAAAATTTAAACTTTCCCTAATTATCTGATCAGCCGGTTGTATCTTATATAAAAATAAAATTACGATTTGGATATGGGTTCCTAAGAGAAAGAAGAAGAAGAAGAAGAAGAAGAAGAAGAAGTTATTATTTTTAAACAAAAAAAAAGAGTAAAACCTTGAAATTTCATTTATATTTTTTTTAACACGGTTATTTTTTATATATGTAAGTACTCTTGGGACGTAGTATAGAAGATTGACATAGAAACATTGCGTTTCAAGCGGAACCATGATCTTATCACTATTACACTTACCTGTAGTTGTAACTTTTAGTCCAAAAATCAAGATGTTTCTTGAGGAAAGCAGATGATTTGGAATCGGACGTCTGCGCTGCAGCCGCGACTTCCAGGCATAACCATAGTAAATAACCGCGATCGCCGACCGCCGACAGGTCCAGGGAAGTCGGATCCGAAGATTTATCTAGGCGACAGTTTAGACCGAGGGTGTCCTTCAGGGGTAATAATTTTTCCACGTACGCCTATAAAACATAAAAACAATTGAGTAACAAAGTAGGCCGCATTACAAAATCATGTATTGTCTCCCGTCCGACTTATATCGCGTTCACAATATAGAGTGAAACTTTAATTCACCGAAAAAACATATTAAGGTAAAGGTAAACATGACTTTACAGTGACAGTTGTCGCCAGCGGTCGCGTAAAATATTTGTTTTTCTTCTTGTGACAATTAGTTGTCAAGGTGCTGTTGTCATTTTTGTCAGTTTCAAACTGAAATGTACCTTAAATTCTTTGTCATGTACAAATATTTTTAAGGTTTTTTACTTTTGAAGTACTTAGACGGAGCCATTTTGAGTCACTGCTTATAAATTTTAAATGTTACAACTTTGTACTTTTTTAATAAGCTTGCTCATAAAAGATATTTTCACTGCAACGCTTTTTAGTTTGAAGCTTACAACATCGTTTAGAAAAAAGCTTAAGCCTTATAGACTTTATGTTAAAAAACGCTTGCACAATTGTGTTGACAGCGAAAGGTAAGAAAGTAGGTATTGAGATAAGTTAGGTTGCAAAACACGAGTTAATTTTTATTTATAACATTATAATTCAAATTAACGAATTAATTTGTTTAGGAAACTTAGGTGGCGGGACTTGAAACTTATGCACATAGTAATGAGCATTGAACTGAGCACCGCTTACAACTCATCGTCACTTTCCAACAGGTGAGATGGGAGGTCAAATGTGCACTTACATTTTACAGAAAAAAACTTCAAATTATAAGTGTGTCTGTGAGCTTATATTAAAAAGCAAAACTTTTTCAAGTGCGCTTCGTTTAAACGCCCACCTCTAGCAACAATCAAAACTTAATTTTTCTCTTAAAACGTAGTGTACTGTAGTGTACTCAAAACTCAAAATCAAGTGCGCACGGGTCAGTTCTGGCAAAAATAAAAAATTCCGTTAGAATAGGAGACACTCTGCATAGCCCTGTATAAATCTAATAGTTACGACAAAAGTACTAACTGGCACGCTGTAAGCTTCTTCTAATATAGAAAGAGCACATTTCACAACAGCTTTAGACTCATCCTTGACTTGTCCGACCAACATTTGAAATATCCACGTGTCCATATCTACACCGCTTGACCCGTCCATTTCATCTTTATGCGACCGGAAATGTTCTTGGACGAAATTCTTCTTTAATTTCGACTTTCGACGCACTAGCTCGCGCGACTTCCTTGAGGCGCGAAGTAACACGTTAAGAAACTGAGTAGCGTACAGTCTTGACGCTTGAATGTTGCAAGTTAATGTTTTGGCAAGAATATCTCGCGGGTACGAATCCAGAGTATAATCTAGACTCGAAATTACTAACTTCACATAACAACTGTGGTGCGTTTTCGTTGATAGCTCTAAGAGGCTGTAACAAGAGAAAGTGTTATTAATTAGGATATTGTTATACTCTACATACTGCACCATCAATTTGTATTATTATATCTATTCGTCGTTACATTTTCATACACATATAATAGTAATTTAGTACGAAGTGATTAATTAATATTAATAAAATTGTCATGATAGCTGTCACGTTAGTTATATAGTTAAATAAACTTTGATAATTATTCTTTATATTTATAAAGTTAATTGGAACAACAAAATGCTACCGCTAGCAATGTTTGTATCCGAGACATATTAACCAAACGTGTCAAATGTCAATTATTAAAAAAAAAATCAAAACAAATCGTTTTCGCAACGATTTTTTTTCCTGTTTATGTTTATATAGTTTTCATTGATATAAAAAAGTCAATCTTTTAATTTGGCAATTATAATTTCATAAACCATATCACAAAGGCGCTTGTTTTAGTACTGAATAGAAATTCTATTGTGTATGGTACTCGATCCTGAACTGAAAATTTTCCGATTGGATTCGAACCTACGTCTTCCAAGAACCGTGTCAGAAGCTATGCCAACTAAGCTTATTCACTTACTTTTCATAAAGCCTGGTCTGTTTAAACAGTCTAAGCCCAGTCTGCGTATGACAAAGCTGCCCAATGAACAGGAAGTACATCTGACACATGGTATTACACATGTGCTGTGGACTGAAGAGACATTCGTGTGCCTTACGGCCTGTTTCTATGGCTTCGATTTGCCGACTTACATCGTAGTACAACTCTTCAAGCATTCTTTGGGAATCCAGCTGTAAGAAATAAAATTGGTGTTGTTTGTAAAAGTTGTTTTGCTAATATAAGCTACTTTGGACTGTGATAAGGTGGAGATAGAATTGATTTTTGACATCAATATTAGTTAATTAAAATTCTAGTATTAACAGTTGAGGTTTTTAACAAATTTGATCAGTTGAAAGTGACGATATAGCACAACATGTTTCATACGTCTTTTGGCATTGTTTTAAAAGTTCATTCTTTTGTCGCCTCTGTGGTAAGTCGTCACTTACCAAGCGATGATTCCTTTATACAAAGCGAGAATTGTCCTTGAATGAGATGGAATGATAGGGGTAAATTTACCGATTAAATTTTATAAGCTTCATACAGTTTGTTTGTATTAATCCGATTGAGACAAAGCAATTGACTATGGAACACTGACATTAGTACTTACGTCATTATACCGCAGTAAATGCCTAATAAGCTGACATCCAGCGCGAGTTGCACAGTGTCCGTGACATGTGGTCGAATCAGTATGGGAGTATTTATTCGAAGATGGCTTAAGGTAGTTTATAATACGTGCCACCCATGTCCTGTGCCCACTTTCGTTAAGATTCAACATAGGACCGCCGTCATGCTCCTAAAAAAGAGTAACATGTCGTGAACTTTTATAGAATATACATTTTTTTATGATACCAAATGAAGGGACGAACAAGTCGTGCGATTGGTGGTAAACGACACGCCTGTCTGTAACAGTTGCAGTGCCACTCAGGGCTTTAAATCGCAAAGATCTGAGGGGCACTGCCACTAACAAGTCTGCCAACTTATGTCTCAGGGGGGTGGGCGGGTGCTGGTGAAAATACAGCCACATGGGGTCCCATGTGGCTGTATTTTCAAATCCGGAATGCAGTAATGTCCACATTACTGCTTTGTGGTAAACATAGGTAAGGTGACAGTACTTCCCTGGACGAACTCTTACACAAGAAGCTCTACTGCTACTAAATTACTGACAAATAAGTAATACTCGGCCAAATTAAGATGCATGATGCGAATGAAACTTCATACTTGACAGTAATTGCTTCGGGGGATGTTGGACGGAGAATGAGAGTAGACAGTCTGATTCAAAATCACTTGAAATTTGGTATACTACTGATGCTGTGACCAGAATAGTCTGCAAATTACCCACCTCTGCACCTACTTACAGCCAGAGATAGCCAAGCACCCATTTTTTAAAACCCTTAAACCGGAATGCAGTCATACTCACATTACCGATTGGCGACAGAAGTAAGTAAGGTGGCAGTACTGCCCTCCTTTCATATGCAACGCATTTTGGTAATTTTCGAGATATTGGCACCTAAAGTTTTCTTTGAAAAATATCAATTACGCTGATTTTAATTAACCGCTCGTAGGGAGCTTAGACCTCGTTTCGTTGATTTCAGATATCGCACTGCTATTACAATAGTGTTGTAGCTCAAAATATGGGAAATTCAAGATTATACGATTTCTAGATGTAAAATTTGACTCTTTACATGTGAACAAAACCATCATTACAATATTGTAAGAAACAATGAAAGGATACTTGACTCAAAATGAGACAAACTTTTTGTGAGCTAGTTCTGTCCAAAACAGTCGTTACTCAAAAATGTGAAATAAATTTTTCCCTTTAATTTGTAAGTATATTTGGCAAATAGAAAATTGTACTGCTATTTCACGGGAAGTGAGTAATTCCTTTTTCATCGATTCTCAAAAATTTTGAGTTAACGCACTATTGTATTAACAGTGCGATATGTTAACTCAATTTCGCTAAAAATGTCTATTACGTTGTTTATAATAAGGCATACGGCATGTACTTCCCTGGACGAACTCTTTCACAAGCTGTACTAAAATTTTTTTATGAAATTAATCATGCACAACGATAAACTTACCTTCAAAATAGTTCTAATTATTTCCCAATTCCATGTGTTACCGTCTTTATTTTGGATCACCAATGTACACCTAATCAAACTATCGCTATCTCGATCGAACAAATTTAGAAACTTTGCCGATTTAGTCACTTTGCTCACTGCTGCACTAGTCCGTGAACTCACACTTTTGCTTTTAACCAATGCACTAATATTTCTATTGGGGACGTCCGCACGTGAACCGACACTGTGCCTTTGCTTTGGTTCGTTCTCGTTGTCGGAGTCGTTTAGGAACTCTATGCTGTTTTCCTTGCGCAATGACGCGTCGGGTTTCGGTTTAGCCATGGTGGCGTTGTCTTTCTCTTTCCGGCTTTTCGTGGTATCTTCTTCTTTCTCTTTAAATGCGCCGCTGCAATACTGAATTATGTGGTCTAGGAACAAGCTGCTAGTGGCTGGGCGCGCTTCTAGTATAGAGTGGAGACGGCGAAGAGCTGCCACAGCAGCCAAGGCTTGCGGCATTCCCGCCGCCGCCTGCGCCATTAAGGAGGGTAGCGCCGGCGTTATACTACAGATTTGAGGAGGTAGAAATAGGTGTATTAAATGCAATAGTTGCCCTAATAATACAGTCGCCCGGACCGATATAAAGGTGTCACTCGTGACTATCACTTCAGCCAGTCCATCTAAAAGTCCAGCCTGAAAAGAACACAGAACATAATTTGAACTATTTATCCACACTTATATGGCGAACGGCTATGGAGTGGAATTCCCTGCCTACAGAAACGTTATAACTTGGGCTTTTTCAAGGTAAGAGTGAATAGGTATTATTTAGGTGTGCATGCTCCATCATCGATCTCATCGTCACTTTCCATCAGGTGAGATGAAGGTCAAATGCACACTTATATTTTATATAAAAAAAAGAACTCCTCATAAATTACAAAACATATATATATATACTTTTCATATGGCGGCAATAGTATTTTATTTATTTACACTTTTGACATCAATATTCGTCCTTTCCGTAGATGAATAATATATCTTTAATATTAAAATTAAACAAAAAGGCTAAATTTAAAATTTAACTGATCAACATTGTATTGCTACTTATAAGGTCCATTTTCCTGTCACGTGGGCTTGTCCAAGCATGTATGTTTACTACTATATATATATATTTTATATATATATATATATATATATATAGCTTGAATATCGATCACATGAAAGGTTTTACTAAACATTGCTGCTTTTTAATAATAGTGGTTCAAACTACAATAAATTATTTTTTAATTTGCCACACAGGTGTATACATAATGTGCTAAACTTTTTTATGGTTTACCAGCCATTGGATGCAAGGGTACTTGTGACTGTTACCTCTAGAAAACACTGAAGTAAAAGCGCAAGATGAATCTCCGTTATATCTGGTCCAGTCGCGCTAAGATGAGGTAATATGGCGGAGCCTTCTGCTGCGATGAACCCTTCGTTCAAGCGCCATGAGTCCTATGTAACAGAGGATTGCATTACTCAAAATAAATAATAAATTTTAGTACAATCTTACGATATAGTGCAGTGTCACTAACAGCTGGGTATACTCCGTGCCCGAGCTGCCTCTGTGGCCGAAAGGTCACCGGACATCATGCCGGACTGCCACGCAGAGGTCTCAGGTTCGAATCCCGAGCCGGGAGAAATATTTGTATGGCCTAAATTTATTTCTCTTGTGAGTTTGGGTGGAATTTGTGGATGTCTATGTGTGTCCATAGCACCCGCGACAGTTTCCTTAGTGCGGGGCTACATTGAGTGTGTGCGTTATTATTATTATTATACTCAAAGAACCAAAGGAAGGTCAACTCGTCAGCTTATGTCTCAGGGTGTCAGGCGCAGTGGCAGTGGCTTTAAGATCTTTCCGATTTAAAGCTCTTGAGTGGCACTGCAACTGTTATGGATAGGTGTGTCGCTTACCACCAGGCGCAGGAGACCAGACACATATTCGTCTCGTCTCTTAATATTATTTAAAAAAGAATCGCCATATAACAATAACGATATATTCAGCTCTAAAAAAATTAATATCAGATTCATGCAGTCCGTACGCGCTTGTTATGCGTCAATATACAGCATAGCTGTTATAATGTTTAATAAGAAATGTTAAAATCAACTCACTTGAAAATCGGAAGGATCAACAGCATCCAAAGCCACAGAGATCTCATCCGTCCATTCTGGTTGTGGCAAACCCACTAGTTCATACAATAAATCCAATATCGCTTTCTGTAAACAATGTCAACAGTTCATAATAGAATAATTTACGTAAAATATTTAAAATAAATTCTTTAATTAATCACAAATACCATTCCTGGACACAATTTGAGCCACCTTGCAAATAGCTAGAACTCAAAAATATTGTCAAGTTTTCCCGGATTTTACATATTAAAACTTTCAACAAGGTCAAACGGAAATGAAGCGTACTAGCTTTTGACGTTTGCCAATTTAGTATACCAGCTTCCAAATTGTATGTATTAATAGTTTTTGATCAATAAAACACTATTTTCTAAATGTTGCTGTGTCATTGTAAGATATTAATGTTTTCACAAACACAAAGACGAAGTATATGATAGACGTTTAATGAACTTGGGATCGATAATCTCAAAGCGTGTTTGTTTTTACAGAATCACAAACACTTTCAAATTTATCTTTGTTGTCATTAACGGCCTAAATAATATTTCATTGTGTTTCATTCCTCACCATGTTAATATTGTAAACGAAAGTTTAACTCGTAGGGACTTAAATCTCAGTACTTACTTAACAAACAATACAAGTGAATGTAAATAGAAATGGTGAACGAAATTGACCCCATACTCACTCGGACCTCTAACCGAGGTAAGTAAAGAGCCGCCACTAGTGCCCGTAGACCACCAGAGCTGTAAGGGTGGCAGAAATGCAGAAGACCCGGCCAGCTCCGTAACACACACAGAAGAGCTAAGCGGCTGCATGTGAACCGCATCTCTCTTTCATCCCTATAGTGAACATTTTCAGTTAGCAACATTTTCAACCACTGCAATAAGTATATACAAAATTACATAAGATGGCAATAACGCAATAATTTTTCTATAAAAAAAATTTAAAAAAATTATTTTGTTATGTACACAACAATCGAACACGAAAATGATAGTTAGTGAATACTGTGTAACCTGGTATGGTACAATCAAATCCTTTTACATGCAAGAGTAAAACAAAGCTATTTTTACTGTTATAAGTAACGCAATGAAAACAAATAAATATGTTTAATATGTAATGTTATTAAATATAATAATGTTATTGTTGACTATAACCATTAACCAACCAACCAAAACAAAACAGCTGTTTTCGGCCAGTTGTATTTAAATAGAGGAGGTTAATATTAATGAAATGGATATCAAATATTAAATCGATATTATTCCAAAAGCTTAAAACACAAATTCGTAGTTTCAAATATGTGACTCATAAGTCTTATAACGAAAGATAATGGGTAACAATAACATATAAAATGAAAGAGAAGTGTTGTGCACTGAAAGATTTCGAAGCGAACATTAAGAAGATCACAGTTGTTGTTTTTGAATATTTGTTAGTTCGCACGACTCAACAAGTGGATAATGACTTATACAGTAAAAACAATGCATGATTACAGGCGAAAATGTCGAAAAAACAGACAGATTACAAAGTAAGGTTATTTAATTCCTAATACATTTTATAATGATAAAGATATAGAAAAAATTATTCTGTATAAAAATGTAACCTAAACACATGAATCTTATTAAATAACCTTTTATTTACATATCCGCCAGACTATCACAAACAGTGAAATTATTGTATATTTACATAACTTTAATTAAGGTTAGTAGTGCAAGTTAATCTAGGTGATACCTAAACTAAGTAAAATTGCTTGTATCTTGGGTATCGAATTTTTATTTGCTTTAAAATTTAAAATTTATTGCTTGTTAGTAACGATTTTTACATTATATGCCATTGAATATTGAAAATGAAGGAGAATACCTGTGAGCATCTGTGCCGGCGGGTCGTACATGGAAATCGCAATACGGCGCAGCTAAACAGGAGAGGTCGATGCGAGCGGCTCGCCGTGCAGTTGGCGCGTTCAGCGCGTGCAGTAATACGCCGCACAGTGCTTCGGCCATGCGTGGTGTAGCGCACTCCGCCAGCTGACGCGTCACTGCCGCCACGCCGCCACTCGCGATAAACAGTTCTGGGCTTAGGACGCCTGAATTCACCAAGACAAAATAGAATTTAACAACAATACCCCTCATACAATTTTATAAAACTACAGAAACATTAGGCTCAATTTATATTGCGGCGGAACGGAATGGAAGCGAATTTTTGTAACGATATTGTACATAGCATCACGCATGCTCGAGAGTGCTCGCGCATTTTGGAAGATTTTGGCGTATCTAGTTTGAACGTTAGACAATTGACCATATAGTTCATTATGCTATGTACAATATCATTACAATAATTTGCTTTTCCATTTCGTTACGCCGCAATATAAATTGAGCCTTAGTGGGCTACCGCTGACGAGCAGACCATTTGTCAAATGAGTATTCCGAAATTTGAATAGTTCGAACAATAAGCTTCACATTAATTAATTTTAAAAAGGGACTTTTCGCTTATAAATGTATTTTATTTAAGTCGACATTTCGGACGTATTGCAACGTCCATGGTCTACAAGGGACACAGGAAGGAAGTCAAGGGCGCTACTATACACTAGGTTGGTGGCGCCAAAAATGTAGCCCTACCAAAAATGTAGCACAACACAGCTAAAGTAGTTGGCGATACTCGGATCCAACAAACAGAATGTCGAGTTCTTTTTTGTATTTTTTTTGTATTTTGTGTGGGCATAAATAATAAACGAAGAAACAAGGAGTTGGATGTTATTTCTGGAACTACCCAATAAAATTAAATAACAACATTATTTACTGTATGCTAGAAATGCTAAGTTAATCAAACTTTCCACTGAAATTTTCTGAATGTTTTCACCTGTGGGTAGTGACGTATATCATACATATAATATATAATCTGTGGATAAAGTATTGTCCTTACATATTTCAGCAAGCGTAGCAATAGCAGGTCTAGCCAATCGGTCACCAGTGCCGTCGCCAGCGCTACCGGCGCGCGCTACAGCAACGAGGCACCGCAGCAGGCCATGGTCGATGTATGCGGCGCGATGCCTCCTCGATTGGCCCGCTCCTACTACGCCGATCACACGTCGTACTACACGTAATGCTTGAGCTCGTTCCTCCTCATTGCGGAGCATTAAGTCCATGGATCTAATATGAACAGCATGAAAGTAAAAATCATATTTTTTTTCCCTTTAAAAGGTTTGTAATCATTATGTTCAATTGCTTTTTATCTTTGATCATATTATTTTTCAGTACTATTGTATCAAATATGTAGCAGAAGCATTATGTAGGCGATATTATTATACAACAGCTCAAATTCCCTACACACTCTAGATCACAAAAATAGCAAAATCTTAATTGGAATATGATAAACTCAATAGATACATCCCAGTTAATGTGTATATGGGTAAGCAGTTTCTACAGGATTATTAAATAAACAAACAAGATATTGTCACATACCTCATGACCAGATATGGCAATTTTAATGTGTTGAATGTTGCAACATCACTCTCTATTTTTATCAAATAGCGTAGCACTCTCAGGGCAGCCGCCCTAATGACCATAGAATCATCTACAAGGCTTATTCGGATGCTAAAACAAAAATACAAAATAAATAAACTTGTATCAGAAATCAGACAACCAAAATTACATGTGTACCAGGTTCATGTGTCATAAGTCTTGAAGAAAAGACAAAACCAGAGCACTACAACTACAATGATCTTCCTAGATTAAGATATGTTACATGAATTTCAAAAGGACTTAAGTATTATGCCAGCAAACAAAAGAGAACCAAAAGAAAAGTGAAGCATTTGCCAAATAATCAAATTGTAAATGAAAATAAAAAGGAATAAAATAACTGTAAATAGATCCAAGTGATTTCACACCGAGTTCAAACTTTACCATAGAACCACAAATTAAGGAAAGCTATTATAACAGAAAAAGCCGCACAATTGTAAAATCACTAAAATTTTTTTACATGTACAAAACGTAAGAAGTAAAAGCAAAAATTTTTCAGTAAGACAATGTCATCTTGTAGTACATGATGATATAGTCATGGAACATGTTGCCCAATAGGTGAATTTTGCCACTGAGAAGAAGCTCATGTTATATTTATCTACAGAAAGTCGCAATTGCTGAATCTGTATGAATATCAACAACTAGGATTGCAGTGACACAACTGATAAGCTGGGAGAGATCTATAGTCTGTTCCAATCCATTTTGAACAAAAAGTAAACAAACCTGTTTGATTAAAATTCTAAAGCAATCACTCAATAAATCGAATAAGTAACACTTTCACAAATATTTTGAAGATTTCAACTTGATATATCATCACTTTTTCCAACAATATTCATTTGAATAGCATCATAAAATCGTGTATGAAAAATTGTAGTTTAGAAGTGAGGTTGTTATTCATCTATACCTCTATGACTTGCCTATGATTGCATGGTGCTGTTCGAAAAAAAACATTTGGTTCAATCAATCAAAGTTTAGTAATCGATTATGAAATCAAACATTTCAATTGCAATCGAATGAGTATCTAAGTGTAAGGATTTGAAGGAGGATTTAAATTGAAATTTTAAATAAGATTATATAGTTTATGTAAGGAAAATATTAGTATGACTCTATTGAACAAATCAATTCATTCAATTAATTAATTGATTTGTAGTTGGCGTTATAATTGGCCATCACTAAACCGTCTATGGTCGGGTCAGTGACTTGTTTGTTTACTTTTTGTTCAAAATGTATTGAAACGAAGTATAGTGACAATACGAGTTTGCACCCCAGTGCTCTGGTGTGTTTTAAGGTCTGATCTGTCGACCAATCCTTGTGACACATTCCAGGGTACTTTAGACCCTGGAATGTGTCACAAGGATTGGTCGACACTGGACTTCATATGCTGTCTAATCAAAGCATTCATGCAGCTTGAACATCTTACCATCACTTTTCAAATGGTGATTTTAAGTTTAAATAATTAGCTGAGTGCCAGTGGACACTGCCAGCTGTCACCAGCATCCTCAAGACAGAAAAACTGGCCCTGATTATTTTTTAAATTAACATATGAGATGACGGGCCAATCACTGCAAAGATGAAAAGTGGACCTAATTTGCACCCCCAAGGAGTTTGGACTCTTTCACAGGTAAGTTAGCTAATTGGACCTCAAACCTTCTTGGTTCGACTAGAAGCATACCACCTTTTGGATACAGCAAGACTTTAATGCCAAGTACTCTCAAGCAGGCAGGAACAAACAATTAAGAATACTCATCATAGCTCTAGTACTATTAAAACATTCTGTTATTTCCAAGCACGGCCAAATCCTACTACCAGAGATTGTGTCCAGAGTAAATATACACAAGGGAGCAATACCAATTTCCCAAAAACCACACTGAAAAGTACTTTATTTTTTGGTCTAAAATAAACAATTAATTACGCTAATAAAGGACAGGATTGTCCAACACATTTATTTACAAACCCACACCATGTTTAAAACTTTGTTTTGAATAATAATAACAAAACAAAAATTTCATAACCTAGCAAGACAACTATGTTGCTCTATTGTAAGCCGGTTTATTGTAACCAAATATAATTTAGAATTACTGTTTAAGACTTACCATGTCATCAACTCGTCAGCACCAAAACCCAAAACACTTCTGTCTTCTTTACATAGTAGTGTGACTAAGGCATTTAAGTAGGACAATCTGCGGCTGTCAGACCCATTCCTTTGCATACCCCTGAGCACAGGCCTGATGTCCGTAGGCACACTCTTACTTGTAGGCGAGGTCTCATGGTGCTTCTTCAAATACAAGCCTTGTAAAATATCAACAATATTCTGTCCAGGCGTTTTATTCTTGGTATCCAACTTGAACAGGTCTCCACTTTGTTTACCTACAAAATTTATTGAAAATAACATCGACGTAATTTTTTATCACTATTTTTAGTAGTAAACAAGCAATGCAAGTCTTAAATTATCAAGGTAAATCAGTAAGAAAACTGCAATGCATACCTTTTCTACGATTATACCAATTTTCGGAAGAGGCCATTATAATAACATTTTGCCTTAATACGAATTCGTGGACGTATCACCAATTAATGTTTACATTGAGTACATAAATTGTTTTTTTTTTCAAATCAGTAATGAGCACACACCAAAAATAAAATTAAACCCTGTTTTCCTGCTACGCATATTTGACAGACCGTGCGTGCTTTGCTTACTATCTTTTTTTTAAGTTCGATGCATCTTGACCATACTGCCACACTTCTGACATCTGTCATTAACACAAACCAAGGACTAGTGTAAAATAATATTTTTCAGAAAAATAAATAATTTTCCGGATATTTTTCGAATATTTTTCCTTCAATTTTCGGCATTTGACGTAAACATCTGTCAAAAGTTGAAGTTACTGAAGGAGGAAGGATCAATCTCAAAGAACATTGGCGAAATCGCCATTTTTTTTGTATAATTTTTATAATAATATTAAACTACCGTACATAGTTATTTTTACTTGACATTGGCAAAATCATTGATTATTTCGATGGAGCCATAACATTTAAAAGAAGAAGAAGAGAAGGAGGAGATTTTCGACTTCGATTGTATTTTTTTATGTACGTTACGCGACAACTCGAACTCGAATTTATGAACCGATTTTGATTATTCTTTTTTTGTTGGAAAGAGGGTACCTCAGTAGTAATCCCATTTAAAGAAGAAAATATTCCACCTCTTAGTGTGGCAAACTAGGATATGAATCTGATTCGCGCTCTTTCTAGTAACCGATTTCAATAAAACTTGGTAAATAGATATAATTCCACGAACTTTTGACGTCGGTTTTTTTAGTTCCCTTACTAAGATTATTATGAAAACTATTTTGGTATATTCTATTTTTTGGTCAAGCGTCAATAAAAGTAAATAAAATTGACCAAAACTTTTTTTTAATGCACTTCACTTTCATGCAGGGATCATTTCATTGTGTGAGACGAATAAAAACGAGGCAGCAGAAGTTTGTCAAGTTTATTATAATATTATTCATTTTGTATGAATTTTAAAAGAATAATAATTAATATTATAAAATAAATGTATCGGTGCGGTGGTGAGGATTGACCATACTTAAAAGATGGAAAAAAATACCGGAATTTTTAGACAATCTCAGCTTTTTTCAATCTTAAATCGCAGCTATGTGGCTAGGCTTGAGTAGTTCATGAACTACCTAAGAACTATTAGGAATTAGTTCCTGATACTGACGGAAACGAATTAGTTCTTTGTGCACCAGTTGTTGTTGTTGTTGTGGAACTTTGATGTGAGTTTTTGGATATTATTAACCGTAGTTTTTTTATTCTCCCTCTGCGTTATTAACTAGGGATCCATAGACTGTTAAAAATAAATTTTTATTCCATTCTTTCCGTAAAAAAAGGCAAAGGTTTCACACCATGTTAAAAGTAGAATTAAATCTTATAGGACGGAAAAAAATATTAAATAAAATACAATTTTCATAAAATAAAGGTTTTTACGGCTTGGGGCGCTTTGCCTTTTAAATAATTAGTGGTTATCTAATGTAAATCCTCCACGAACATACTCGATATTACGAACGAACGAACTACAGTGCTATTTTTTTGTTCTTTGGTGTAGTGTTTTATGGAAGTATTTCGATGTCAAATGGTTGTCATTGTCAAAGAGTACTTTCTACTTTGCTAAATCGTAAATAAATCTGAGAAGTTTACAAATCACAGAGATAAACAACAATAAGAATATATTTAGGGTGCTATTTTCGGTGTTAAGTGGTAAGTTGTTTACCTTTTCACTGTCGGGTTGATTACTTACATAAATAATATAATGGAATTTTACTTTTAAGATTGGCGCGCCATATTTTTTGGCATACAATGATTTCTAGAAGAAAATCCAAATTTAAGACAAGACCGAAAGCAGCCAGTAGCAATACGGATAGTCAAAGTCCAGCCGTGATTGCTGAGGAATGGACTAAAGATGAAAAATTTTTTCTATACCAAGCTCTAAAAGATTTTGGATCTTACGATATTGATGCAATTTGTCAAGCTATACCATCGAAATCTAAGGAACAGGTAGCACAGGCCGTGAATCACTACAAAAAAAGAGCATTCAAGCAGCATGAGGGAAAACCAGAGGGGAAGAGGAAAACACAAGTGCGTCACACCCGTGTTCCATTACTGTCATGGGCCCAGCTGCTCATAGACAGTTCCAATTTTGAAGATCTCAAAACCGACAGTGCAAATGCTCTCCGACTAATAGCTAAGTTTGAGAATATTCCTGCAACAATATGCACAGAGAACATTGATTTTCGACACCTGTACCATGTTGTAGCAAATGCTATGGAAGGCAAAGCTCTTCAAGAGGATTACACTATAGCTTTGGTACTAGATAAGTGTTTTACTGAAGCAGTTTTAGTATCCAAAGCTTTTATGAGAAACACAACTTTAATCAGCATTATGGAAAATTATCTTAAAGCTGCCAATACAGCTCATAAAGAGATAACCACAGTTTATAAGCCTGGTATTGAACCAGCAGAAGCAGCAATTAGGCATTTAGCTACTAAGAATAATTACAACCCATTTAGTATTGCAGAGAGTAATTTAAAATTGGAATAAAACAGTAAGTGTAACCCCTTATGCATAGGGTTACCATTCTATTTTTTTTATTTTATTATTAGGAATAACAGTCAACTTAAATACATCTTACAAAGAACAATATTTGTCTTAAAGTTATTTAAGACAAATATTGTTCTTTTAGGCTAAAATAGTTATCCACAATGACATACATTATTGAAGCTTTACAAATGAACAGAACAAAACAAATTTAGTAGTGGGCTTAGAGAATTTGAATTTGAAGTCACAACAAAAAGTAAATGTCAAACAACAAACAACTCGACGAAAGGTGCAAGAAGGTTTCGGCTTTTTAGTACCTAATAAAATAAAATTGAAAACGTTTCTCTTACGTGCCAGCAGTAGGGCTAGCACGATAAGGCGCGACTTGCGCGAGAGCGACATGAAGTGTGAGATCTTTATGCGAGAATAGTAGTGTCCCGCACTTTATGTCGCTCTCACCCTACTAAGATGGATAAACCTAAACCTGCGCAACAAAATTTTTGTCATTAATCGAGTTTTACCACAGCATTGTGAGGTAGATATTTTACTTAAAATTATGAAAATTGTTAACCTAAACAAACAAAATCTGGAAAATGACAAATCCTGACAGGAGGTCAAAGGGATGGTAATCATTTAGTCACGAGACCACACATATACTCGGTGTCCCTAAGTATTTTGGTAAAAAAATCTTTATAAATGGTAGATAAAAAAAAAAAATTTAAAATTGAAAATGAAAACACTACTGAGTGTTAGAGACACCGTATCAGTCTAGGATGGTACATTTTCATAATCATTAGGGATACTGCGATAAGACAAATTAGGCAACTTTTAGTACTTGTAGTCTGTAGTATACTTCAATAAATATAACAAATGTGCCAGATTATTTTGAATGACTCATTCAAGATAATGGGAGATTATTTTATGTGTAGTTTGTTTTCTTTGTGGTCCTTACTACACACCAGCGGGCGTTGCTGCTGTCCAGAATGTATATGAATATATATATACAAGTGTCCCAAAACTCAACGATAACCTGGGAGGTCATTTTTAAGGCGTTGCTGTGCATGGGGGTCTACTCTCGATCTCCGGCCGACATCCGTCCGAAACAATTACTGCACAAATAAGTAATATTCGAGAAAATTAAAAGAAGTATCCAGTATGAAGCTTCATTCGCATAACGCGTCTTTTCATTTGGTCAAGTATTGCTTATTTGGCAGTAATTGTTTCGGACGAATGTCAGACGGAGATCGAGAGTAGACCCCATGTATTGATGCCAGTAGAAAACAGTTTGAGCAGTTGCTGTGATCTATAATAAAATTATAATAATTTATTAATTACTTTTATTTAAATTCCTATACTTGTCGAGGAATGTGGAATTTGAGACTGTTTTGCCTCAAACAATCATACTTAACATTTTTACCAGTCAGTCTAACTCCGACTGCATGGATATGAAACCTAAATTAACCTTAGAAGCACTGAAAACCATTTTCACTTAGAAAAGGTAACCTTTTTAAAAAGGCCTCTTTATAGAAAAACCAGGATTATATTTTTCAAGAAGCATGACGTGGAAGGTTTTATACGATTTTAGAATCTTGATTAGTTGCGCCAACTTTTGTAAGAAGTTGCCATGGTAGTCTAGGTACATTTTTTACAGTAGGGGTGTCAAAGTTATCTTGAAAAAAAATCGAAAAATTCCAAGAAAAAATTAAATACATAATTTTTTGTGCTGAAACTTTAGCAATTTAGATTTTCTTTGGCATTATGTTAATTAGCTGGGCTATTTAGGTTACCATTATAAAAACAAAGAACAGCAAAATTAGCAGTTTTGCAATTGTAGTACTTAAGAATGTGTACAGTTCGCACATTTTCAACATTTTTCTTTCAAAAGCTTATATCATAAAGAAAACATGACTCAGATTTTTTAAATATTTTTTTCTGGGTTGTTACAGACTAGGCAACATCCTGTTCTCAAGTTATCGTTGAGTTTTGGGCCACCCTGTATATATAGATTTTTTTTGCGATTGTGCTAAGTAAATACGTGTTTTTTGTGGTGATGAGCGTTGATCATTTTTTATCTTACCTAAGTGGGTGAGCCAAAAAGTTTGGGAACCTATGACCTAGCTGATACTGAAAAATATTCTGACACTGCTCCGATAAAAATGTTTCTTAAATATAATGCTTATATTATTATTTTATTTGTCCTCTGACCTTCATAGAAATGTGTCCTTCTTGGATTTGTTTCATGCTCAGATTAGAAAACAATAGGTTATATTGTTTTGTAAACTAAGGTTTCATGATTAAAGCTCAGAATTAAATCTGAGAATTAAAGATATTGTATGTATGCTTTAGTTTTATGTATTTCTACGTTATAGTAGCAGTCGACCTTCTTCGAATGCGGTCGTCCAGGGAAGTACTGCCAACTACCTATTTCAGCTACCAAGCAGTAATGTGAGCATTACTACGTTCCGGTTTTTAAGGATAAGAGTGCTCGTGAAATTACAGGCACATGGGACTTGTCAACATGTCGCAGGGGCGACAGGCGCAGTGGCAGTGTCCCTTAGTTCTTAGCGATTTAAAGCTCTGAGTGACCTTACAACTGCTATGGACAGGCATGTCACTTAACAACAGGCGCACGACTTACTCGTTCCGTTACCTATCATAAAAAAAATTTGTGAAATTACGTTATTTGTGAAAAAGTTAAATGTTTATATTTCCAAGTATCTATCTAGTGAATAACTACGGCAAAATAAAATAAAAGATAAGTAAGTAAATTATATTTTGCTTTTTATTTTAACATAAAACAATTTTTTATGTATGTTATGTTTAGGCACATAATTTTAACTAGCTACATTTATATTTACATGTACGTACCTACCTAATTATGAATTTTACTAAGGATTCAGCGCAAGAGTTTCATAATAAATATTCATTATAAAGAAACAGGTTATCTTAATTAGATTTGTAATCAATTTTTCTAAATCTAGCTATTTAACCATTCTATGAATTTGCTGAACAATTTGAGTGCTACATTAACGACTCGATCCCAGAAGCCGGATTCTTCTTGTTGGTCCTCACTGGCAGCTGTTGGGTAGTCGGTATCGAAAGTTTCTATTTGCCTTTTTACCCTTAACGTGTCTTCATTTTCGTGGCTATCTGCAAATATAATACAATATTTTAAACTATTTCAATTTGTAGGAACAGTTGCCTTGTGGTTGCTTTTAAGTTGCATACACGTTTGGAATATAATAAATCATAAACTCGTTTAGTGGAAACCCGTATGCCAAATATTAAACTTAAAATTGTAAAGATCTTTAACTTGTGGATTGATTGGTAGGTTGAACTTTTTGCATACTGCATAAAGAGTTACTTTACAATTATTGGATGATAAATATTTATTCTCCGTACATGCCTATTGCCAAAGCCTCTTCTCCCAGTTTGGTAGACTATGGCTGAGACTTAAACTTAAAGTTTCATTTAAATTTTTGCTTAAACTGAACCAAAGTACGTTTTGTAAATATGGAAAGCTTAGCTTGCCATTTCTGTTTAATCGAAATCAAAGTTTCTTTTATACATTTCATCTTGTGATTATTTTACCAGATTTTTATCTTTAGCTAAGAAGAGACCCGTACTCAGCAGCGGAACACAAGGCCTACTTGAACAATTATTAATCCAACAATAAATATCTGTCCTTATAAGAAATTTTATAAAATAATTGTCTAGCTAGCAGTGACTATTAAAGTTTGAATGCTCTACAATGGAAGTATCTACATACAAACTGCTTAATAGGCACGTGAGAAGTGAGTACTTACTTGATAAACTGGACGCGTCATAGGAAATCTGTAAATGAAAATTAATTTTAGCTAATACTAAATACCATATAGGTATACTAAATACCTTATTATAAGAAAGTAAATTTTTATTTGTTTGAGTAGGTATATTACAAAAACTTACGTGATATCCTGTGGCGAAAACCAACAAGATGGCCACAAAAGTAAGAACTGAAAAGATATGCGCTGTGATAGGACTCATCTCTCTGTGATCAAACGCCACTTTGACTTGCCATGACTGTGAACTTCGGCTTTATACAGGGGCGTGGCAGTAGATTGTATGTGGCGGAAAATCATGGCTTGTAATCAGCAATCACAGGTGATTAAACAAGTGTTTATAGAAGTTCTTTTTATCATGTCACCACTATTTGTGCAACATATAATATTAGTTTGTAGATATATACAGCTGATATGAATTTACAGTCAACAGCAGTAGGTGCCTACCCTTCTGGGATAATATATAGATGAGAATATTATACCTAAAAGCGAAGTTGGGTAAAAATTGTCACGAATTGACGGTTAATGTGTGCTTGGGTAAAATAATTAGGTATATTATGAAATACGGACTATTGTGTGCCTACTATCCCATTATGTTGAATTGTAATTAGAAACACGTGGCAATGTATTGGTGCCTACAAAATTCAGTTATTTTAAAGTATAAATACATATTTATCTCATAAATATATATTTATAGGCGATCTATATAGATCTCCGTTGTTAGGCAGGAACTTCCTTTTACTAGTAGCCAAATTAAATAAAATTAATTACTTATTAGCTGGTATCCGCGACTGCGTCTACGTAGAATAGCTATTTCGAGTAGCCTACAGTACCATACTAAATTTCATAGTGTTGTTGGTTCTCCATGAAAACTATCATCCCTTATTTCACTCCCTTTAAGATTTATTTTTGTGACAAAACATAGTCTTTGTCCTCCTAGGTCACACGTATTACTATAAGAAATTTATCAAAATTTGTTCAGCGGAAACGTAACACAAACTTTCGCATGTATAAGAAATACCTATTAGTTTCGATTTCAATATGTAGACATTATTGTTACGTGTGTGCTTAGGAACAACATACTTATTTATTAATCTTTATTTTCCTCCACAGAAGTCATGAACCAAGTAGATTATGTATGTATTCCGTGATTCTGCCTTATTTTTTAGGCTTAGCTTCAATATTGGCCTCCTCTGAAAATATAACACAGCTTAGGTATAGTTTAGTTTAGTTAGTGCTAACTGAAATTAAGTTAAATACCTTATTCAGTTCGCATTAGGGACGTTAAGTAATTTTAAGTAGCTGTTGACACAGTACCTTATTTTGAAATCACTTGTGTTAGCGTCTATACTGAACACACCTTACGTTCATGCAATATGGTGTTTTTTCAGCAAACGACCTTGTTGATTCAGTCCCATGTTCCGCACGAAAGCATGTGCACAATGGGATGTTTCTGTGAATCGGATAGGCGTGCTGACGAAGAGTCATCGCCGTCATCTCATTAGTTATGGAGAAAATGGACTTATGGTTAGATGACAAAAAAATTGGCTTCACTTTCATTATGTTTGAGTTTGATATTTATTTTATTGAATATGATGATGTTTTAATTACTACAATGATAGACTTAAATTTTTTGTTAAAATTTCTCCACTATATTTTTATTATTATTATTGATACAAAGATATACCACACTAACTTTCAGTAGCAGTAGAGCTCCTTGTTCGTCCAGAGAAGTACTGCCACCTTATCTATTTCTGCCGCCAAGTAGTAATGTCAGCATTACTGTGTTCCGGTTTTGAAGGGTAAGGCTGCTGGTAAAATTCCAGGCACATGGGATTTGTCAACTTATGTCTCAAGTTGACGAGCGCAGTGGCAGTGTCCCTCAGATCTTCGCGATTTAAAGCTCTTGAGTGGCACGTACAGATATTATGACTGCGGTGGCACTGCAACTATTATGGACAAGCGTGTATCTTACCCTCAGGCGCACGACTTGTTCGTCCCGTCACTTGATATTACAAAATAAAAAAAATTTTACACCAACCAGCATCAGTTGCCACACCGGGGCCGCCGTTCTTATCAACTGAGCTACAGACTGATACAGCAGATCTTACTAATTTCTAATTGCGCTTCTTGCAGATATTTGTATTGGGTTTAGACGGTTTTTTTAACCGACTTCCAGGAGGTTCTCAATCAGACTGTAGTAGTCAGACTGCGATAACTCCTGCGGCATTTGTGAACCATTTTGATGATTCTTTTTTGTTGGAAAGAAGGTACCTCAGTATAGGCCCCATTTAAATTTGAAGAAAATATTCCACTTCAAAGGGTGGAAATCTAGTGGAAAAATGTTCTTTTCTTTCGTACACGGAAAGGAAAATGGAGTACGCAAATGCTTCTTTATATCTCTGCTGAGTGTGTGTGTTATTTATTATTAGTCTGTGTAAGTGTTTGTTTAACGCATTGTCTTGTTAAAGCGAATATGAATACGACTACCTACTACCTTAAGTTAGTTTTTTTAACTTGCATACATACCTACTTGAAAAGTAATTTGATTTTGGTTTTATGTAAGTGAGGCCACGAAGCGAGCTATGTTCACAGATCTACAATCACTATTATACTACATCTGACTCAGTACCACAACCGGTAATAAAGACCATAGTTATTAGTCTGGTAAACTGGTAAAATATGATTTGCATGGCTCAATTTACATTCCCTCGGAACGAAATGGAAGCTAATTTTTGCAACGAAATAGCACATATTATAGTATTATGAACTAAGTCAATTTCGTAACGTTTATGCTGTATACTGTGCGACAATTCTCCAGAAGACACGCGACCTGTTGTAGCTCATATCCAGTTTGTATGTTACACAATTGCCGAAGTTTATTAAGTTCTGGTTACAAAAATTCCACAGCAATGTATTTTGAGCCTAGTTCAGTTCTTACTTCTGTAAAACTTGTTTATTTAGCACAAATCAGACAACCAAAAGTACATTTGTACTGGGTTCTTATGCCATACTCTTGGACATAATGCTAAAAAAGGTTGAATTATCTTAAACACTCTTGTTTGTGTGGCCAGTGGTGCCTCTGATGTCCATGAGTGTATTTCGGGGTTTACCTATAAATAACTTGAGTCTTAAAAATGTAAATATGATAACATAAAAATGAGACAAAGAAGAATTAACACTAATTATTTTAATTTAAACCGAAAATTCAAAAATGTATGTGCTGATACGTTTTTGAAAATTCAAAGATGATTTTATGAGGTAATACACAAACATTGCAGCACACATTACAGTACTATTATTTTTTAGAAGCTCCAAATCCTGAAAAGCCCATAATCTGAGCTAATTCAGATTGGGCAGGTGTACTTTCAGGTTCATCAATTTCTTGGAGCTTGCGTTTTTTGTCCCGGCGACGTTCGCGACGAAGCTCCTTGACTCTGGTTTCTTCTTCAGCTGCCTCTCTTAATCGCGAATCGAGCTCGTATTCCCTTTTCTTATCCTCTAGTTTCCTCTTATTTAGAGCAAATCTTGCTTTTACCTGCAATATGCAAAATATTATCAGTACTAGGCCAGTCACTCGAAGAACTGATTATTATTTACAAATTTTAAGGAACTTACATGTTAGAAATCATTAGGAAATATTGACATTTTAAAAACGCAAAAAAAGGGATTTTTTTATTATGTTATTTCATTAATGTGCTGTATTACCGAATCTTATGCACAGGAAAAAAAACTAAGTGATTTTTTCATCATTCTGTATAGTAAATTCTACACAAATTCAATACAAACATAAAAGTAACGTAACTACAAAAGAGTCACAATTTTATTCTTTTAATAAATTAGAAATGTTAAATAATAAAAATAAATCTTAAAGAATAAAACTGTAACCTTTTTGTAGTTTCCTTTTTGATGCTCATACGAAAACTATAAAATAATATTATTCTACATTGTTTCAAACTGTACTCTACTGAACTATCCTAAATTGGCCCAGAGTATTTTTGTGAAATGTTTTCAGAGTGTTTTGTTGGTGTAGTTACATATCTGCTACTTTACCTGATTTTGTAGCAGGAATAATTACTTGGCTATGTATGGGTAACAAGGGAGAATTTTCTGCATTAAGCCCTGGTAACTAAAATATCGTTAGATGCATTAATATTATTTATTTTATTATTTTTTTACTAACTTGCTCTAAAGAGCTCCTTTCAATCTTCATAGACATGCCCAGATTCCTTTGGTGTTTCTTGCCATTGATGTGGTCCAGGAAGTTAATAGAGTCTTTTACAATGCAATCACACACATTGCAGTAATATCCCCCTGATTGCGATGTTGGAGTGTTCTTTGTGATGACAACGCTCTTTCCAAGTTTTGAGTCGAGATCAACTTTGTAATCACGCTGTTTGAGAAGCTCTCGTTTGATTGGTGGAGCTGCAATGTTTAATGTGCAATTTAAAAAATAGCATTAAGATAAGTTTACTGTTACTGATAAACATCTACAGGGTGGCCCAGAAAGGAATGCACTTTTGAAAATTGTAAATTACAAAGTTCATATTTAAAGATTTAGACATGGCTGACCAAGTTCCAGAAGTCTGAACTCAAGGACACTACTGATTCTGACAGATCAGAGGGTTATGGAACACAGCATTCTGGGCTTGAAACATATTGACCGAGTTTTCAATACAATGCTGCATTGGCATGTGACACTACATGGGGGAAAAGGAGTCCACAGGGACAGATTATATGTATGACATGTATACATCAGGTGTAACTATAACTAAATAAGGAAGTTGGTAAGTAATCAGTGAAATTGCAAGGCAGCATTTAGAGCAGCAGCGGTACTTGGTGTAACGGGCTGGTGTCCGCAACTCGACGTCAAAGCGCCTATTTTGAGTGTGGCAGCAGCGGTATTGTTCACAGCATCAAAATTTATTTGTGTTTACCGTTCATGATACCAAGTAATGAACAAATCGTAGACAGTCCTGGATATTACAGTTTTTGACAGGAATTACGACTGACCTTGGTTTAAATACTTTGGAGGGACAACTTTAATGTCAGTTATTTTATTAATGTTTCGTAACAGTTCTCGTATCATATACATTTTTTGATTTTGTTTACTTTATGTACCTTTCTTTTTAGCACGTTCCTCTTCTTCTATTTCTTCTCGTAGTCTCTCTGCAGCGATTCTTTCGAACTCGTCTTTGTCCCATTTTCTACGGTGATCATCTGGTCGCATAGTCATGTTATCTGATCTTGAAACTTAGCTTGTTGCTATAAAACACTATTTTTTACTATAAAAAATAGTAAAAACGCAGAAAAAGGTAGAATAATGTTCTTTTTAAATTGGCTTTAGATACTCCTACTCCTGATATACAAAATACCAAACACTAATGCCAAAATAAAATTGCCAAATGACATTAGTAATGACAATGACAAGCCAAGCATAGACAAACTCCGAAGACCATTATTCATAGTGATGACATTTGCCGAAAAGTTGGTGTGGTATGTCCATTTATCATGTAAAAAATCTTGATTCCTCTTTTTATTGAAACATATTATGCTTTACAAATCAATAGGTATAAAAACAGGCATGCAATTTCATGTCAAGCTAAGTATTTGTATTTTGTATTTGAAGGTAAGTAAACATTATTTTATAAATTTTTTCATTTCATTTCATTAAGTAGACATCTCAAGATTGTTTCCATTTAGTTAAGTACCTAAACAAATGGTCTTTAGTAGTGTATTACAAGCACGTCTGTGTTGGAGTTTTTAAAAAAATTACCTACCTACTCTCTTTCCACATGGCCCAAGCAATTCTATGAAACGTCTACAGATGGCGCCAACCGTTCCAATTTCAAATGTTTGCCGGTAATTATAATTGTTTTATCTACTGAAATATCACTTGCGATTGTATAAAATAATTATACAGAAAAAAACTTGTAACAGTAATTGTAAATTATTGTTGTATTATTCCATTCTCTATTAAAGACTTATTACAGATACACCTACCAATCTACAGAGAAATTGAAGTCCCAGAATCGATTTACCCCGGGCTCTGTATAAAATATAAATCAAGATGTTAAGATATAAAAGGTAGTCGCTCTATCAGACTCTCTCATACGACTATAACGCATTTAGATGACTTCGTTAGGCCAGCCTGTGAGCAGCCTGTGAGCTCTGTTCATCCACGATGACGTCCGAAATTCGGCTTACGAAAGTAAATAGTGTTTAAGAGTCGTATTCTAGAACTCTATTCAATGCTCAAGTCAGGATTGCACTGGCAACACAAGCACTGGAAATACGACCCTAATGGCAGGGACTTGAGTATGATATCAAGTGCTTTAAACCATACTCAAATCCTAACTTGAGCATTGAGTAGAGTTCTCGAATACGACCCTAAGAGTAAGATTTTGTTGTATATTATAAGATAGACTTAGTGGAAAGGGTTCAATAGGTAGTACTGCTCTAAGTAGGCAAGTAACTTTTTTTATAATAAGTGCTCATTTGACCTCCATGTCACTTGATGGAAAGTGTTGATGAAGACGACGATGTACACCTAATTAATGCCTATTCAATTTCGCCTTGAAAAGGCCCAGTTATACTGTTTAGGGACGTCTACATGCAGGGAACTTTTTAGCTGATCGCCATATAAATGTAAGAACGAAACGCTTCGTGTGAACCCCAGCCTACGTTTAGTCCCCCGCTGACGTAGATAAGTAAAATACGCCGTTCTTGAAATAGCAACTGAAATTAGAAAGGATTGATTCAATTACCTCGATAGATGACAGATATTGTTTTTCTTTAATTGAATGCGATTATTTATTGAGCGTTGGCTATAGAGCCATCAGCTTAAACAGGTAACAAATAATTAAGCAACTCAACACGTAATAAAACTTGACTTAAAATTAATTTGTGTTAAATCATCTAACTGTAAAAACCCGCCACTTTTCGTCGTTTTAATTAACATTTGTATTGGATCTTTTAAACTATGTAATGGATTGTTTTCTTTTTTTGATTAGCCTTATTTTATTGGACCGCAATGGTATAGTGTATAAGAGATTGCGCAACTTGTCTGCATAACGATAATGAAACTTTGAATAGGTTCCGCAAGTGATTCGAAATGTAATTCATTTTTCACAATGAAATAAATTAACTTGTAATGAAATTTTAATTCGAAATCAATCAATTTCTCTCATGAATTTGTTTTCTATGCTGTGTTACCTTCTTATTGTTAACTCAGAGATAGTGAAGTAATTACGTTCTTACATTGCTTAAAAATTCAGATGCACGTAAGAATATATCGAACTAGGACAGTGGTACCAATGTAAAAAAGCGTCTTGTGGAGGATAAGTACTGTGAAGTTTGCATATCAGTCTTTACATCTCCTTGAGCTTTTGGCAGCTGGCCGTAACTACAAGTATGCCATAGGTTTAAATTCAAATATCGTTTATCTTACGCTTAGAGGATGGAAAAAAATGAAAAATCTTACGTAACGTTATTTGTTGGTCATTGACGTATATGACTAGTAACACTAGTAAGATGATAAAATATCTAATTGATTACATATGGCATGTATTTTAAATGATCATTTTAAATTTGCGAAAGCAGCAGGCAAAAAATCTAAATGGCAGCCTTTTTTAATGATTGATCCTTTCTCTCTGACACATAAAATAAATAAAATCAATGTATGTTTTAATTTGTTCTGAGCTAATATTTGATTTGTATAAATTAACTTTGATAGTTTCATGTAGAGCCTCGAAACTAAGACAAATGAGCATTAAAAATTAAGTTCAGATACATTGACTTAGTAAGTCAATGTTCAGATACCTACTCCTTTTTTATAATTAGATTTCCTAAAATACTTTTTTGTTCTGATTTACTTACTAAAATATTTGTATACTAATCTAATATTATATTCATAATAATTTAATTTGACCTGAAACTATGTTCGGAAACGCAAGCATATTCGCTTCTGGCACTCGCCGGCTCGTGCTGCTTTTTCATATACTAGCCTTTTTCTAAACCTGGGAGAATCTGCTTACAGACACCCCAGCCCCCATTGCATCTGCACCCTAAGCGGTGCAGTCCCGCCAGAGTCGTGGAGGACAGGACGAGCGGCAAAACTTAACGTACTGAATGGAGGGCGCGACCGATTTGACCTATATGAAAAAAGAGGATGAAATATAATTTTTTTTTCTATCAAATATTAATTTAGTATGCTTAAACATAATGATAGAGTTACCTTGAATGCAGTCATTTATAATTTATCCGAATATAGATCAGCTAATACAGACGAAACAGCTATAATATACATTACACTTCTAAGATCAATTATATCTTTAAGGATCAAATTAATTATTTCCTAGGGTAACCTACGCAACTATCTCGCTTACCCGCACCAAACATGTAACATAATATTATATACAATTATAAGTTATTACTAAGTTAGTAAGTTACTCTAGGGAATAGAATATCTTAATCTTACCATCGCATCGCTCTACATTTACGAGACAAGTACACCTCGAACACATAATTCGAGCTATTTTGCATTTTTATCCTTAATGGGCTAGAATATAAAAATATAATTATCATCGAAAAAAGTTTTCTCCAGTTCTTTAAATTCAAATATTCAATAAGGACTTAAGGAAATGACGTTTAGATACCAGTTTCAAAGTTGCATTAGCATTTTTGAGCAATCAAGCATTGTTTAAGCTAAGGGCATGTAATATTGAAAATGCAAGGTGGCGCGAATTATGTGTCCGGGAGTTTATATTTCGATCGATCGAACCCGGGACCTTGGAGACGGCGACACCATGAAAATCGGTGTGCAAGCCATTCGGCCACGGAGGTTGTCAAAAATAGTAGAATCCAGATATCCTCGAAATCCGAAATTATAAAATAGAAGTATATCGCCCAAACAACTCTCTAATACAAAATTTTAGGGAGCCACGGCATTTGTATTACCTCCTAAATTATTTAATAATTTGCCAGACGTAGTAAAAGCACCAAATGTTAATTCGTTATGCAATGACATTAATATATAGTATTATTACCTAACCACCACTTACCTATTTCTGCCTCCAAACAGTAATGCTCACATTACTGCGTTCCGATTTTGAAAGGTAAAGGTGTCGTGAAATTACAGGCACATAGGACTTGACAACTTATGTCTCACGGTGACGGGAGCAGTGGCAGTGCCCCTTAGATCTGTGATTAGTACTGCAATGGCTATGCGTATGTTATGGGCAAGCATGTCCATTGACTTAGAGGGTTTACATGGCGTTGTCGTCTTTGAAATCCTGGGATCGATTACCCGGCCGAGTCAATGTAGAAAGCTTAGTTTTCTATATTGTCTTGGGTGTTTGTGGTACCGTCGTTGTTTCCAATTTCCATAATGTAAGTGCTTCAGTTGTTTACTTTGGGACCAGTATGTGATGTTGTTTAATATTGAATAATATGTTTTTATCTTCCCGTCGCTTGGCATAATAAAAATAAAAGAAGATCTTGATGGAATCAATCACAACTTGATTAAATCAATTACTTATAACTTATGATTGCAGTGTTAAAGTTAAAATACTTAAGCACTTGAAAATGTTCTTATTTATTTATTTATTCATTCTGAATTTCACATGGGTGGTACAGATTTATAACTGTTGGGAATTTCACGAAGTTCTAAATAAAAGAGACTTGTGAAAAAAAAGGGAACACCGTATATTACTGAGTATAATATAATAAGCTAGTTAATTGACGACATGTCATAATATTAACTCTTTAGTTTCTAATGTCTATTTTGAACTTTACATTTGATAGTCTTTTGGTTCATTGTTGTCAAATATTTCTGTGGAATAAAACCGTTATTCTAAAGGTTTTATCTTATTTATCAATTTATTCCACAAAATGTTATCAGAATAAATAAAATGGAACGGTTTCTGCGTCCCGATAAACTGAACATTGATCCAACCGGTAATTCCGCCTCCAAGGAATGGGAGCACTGGAAGAGGACGTTCGAGAGTTTCTTATCGAACTTTACAAAAGAAACAGCTGGTATGAAAATAGACATACTTATAAACCACGTATCTCCAACAATCTTCGCATACATAAGTGAATGTACTACCTATGAAGAAGCCCTAGACATACTCGACAAACTATTCAATAAACCAAAAAATGTAGTCTATGCCAGGTATATACTAGCTACTAGGAGACAAAAGCACGATGAGAGCATTGATACTTATATGCAGGTGCTAAAATTATTAGCGAAAGATTGTCAATTTGGAAAGGTTGATGCTGAAACGAATAAATCCGATAATATTCGAGACGCATTTATTACTGGTCTCAATTCGAGTAAAATCAGGCAGCGATTGCTTGAAAATCTAACTCTATCTCTTGACAAAGCCTATGATCAGGCGAGATCGTTAGAAATGGCGGAGATGAATTCACAGAGTTACGAATCTTCAAATTTGAATGCTGTACAAGGTTCATCAAAGGAAGAAGAATCATCAGCAGCGTCTTTCTTCAAGCGAAAATGTTTCTTCTGTGGGGGTCGCGTGCATCCTAGAAAAGATTGTCCAGCACTCGACTCTACCTGTCAGATTTGTAAAAAAAAGGACACTTAGCTAAAGTATGTCGTAGCAAGAAACAGACTGCTGCATCAGTAGTCGAAACTGAAAGTAATAAAACTAGTGCTTGTATAATAGCGGCATCGCCGGACTCGCTTAGAAAGGCTACTGTAACGGCGTACGTTCAAGGGATACGCGCCCAAGCATTAATCGATACAGGCAGCTCAATTAGTTTTATGGATGAGGAATTCTTTAATCTCTGTCGTTTAAAAAAGAAACCGAGTAACCAGAGAATTTCAATGGCTTCGACTACTCTTACTTCCAAAGTAGAGGGACAAACTAGCGTCTCTGCCAAAATTGGAGATTATGAGTACAAAAATCTGAATCTACTCATAGTAAAGAATTTATGCGCTGATCTCATCATTGGACATGATATTCTGCATCAACACTCTTCACTAGAGTTCTCTTTTGGTGGTTTGAAGGAACCTATCAAAGTTAATGTATGCAGTGTTGCTGCAGCTACCGTGCCTGCCGTACCACTGTTTTCTAATGTATGTCCTGAAATTAAGCCTGTTGCTATAAAATCGAGAAGACATAGTGAGGATGACAAAGAATTTATAAAAGAGGAAGTCAGGAAACTTTTGGCTGATGGAATAATCGAAGAAAGCACGTCCCCCTGGAGAGCTCAAGTCCTTATCACAAAAAATGTCAACCATAAGAAGCGTCTTGTCATCGATTATTCCCAAACTATAAACAGATATACTCATTTAGATGCGTACCCTCTACCAAACATAGAAGAGCTGGTGTCACAAATATCTAGATATCGTATATTTAGCGCTATAGATTTGCAAAGTGCTTATCATCAAGTTCCTATTTTGCTCGAAGAACGTCATTTTACGGCTTTTGAGGCTTTAGGAAATTTATACCAATTTCTCCGAATTCCATTTGGCGTTACAAACGGCGTCTCAAGTTTTCAAAGGACGATTGATTGGGTAATCCGAAAAGAAGATCTCAAGGGAACGTTCGCTTATCTTGATGATATTACAATTTGTGGCAAGACCCAGCTTGAACATGACAAAAACTTAAGAAATTCTTGGCAGCTGCCCAGAAATATGGCCTCACTCTCAACAAAGAAAAGAGTAAGTTCTCACAAAACTCTATTAATATTCTGGGTTATAACATAGAAGACAACATTATCAAACCGGATGCAGACCGCTTGCGCCCACTTCTGAACTTACCACCACCATCTGATCTATCATCACTGAGAAGAGTGATCGGAATGTTTGCACACTATAGCAAGTGGATTCCAAATTTTTCAGAAAAAGTTCACGATCTTACTAATGCAAGGATATTTCCATTAAGCGACAATTTAGTCAAAAACTTCAATGTACTCAAATCAGATATAGCCAAATCAAGTATTCATGCAATTGATCATAACGCACCATTAACCGTGGAAACAGACGCGTCAGATCATTCTATCGCAGCAACTTTGTCACAGGCTTCTCGGCCTGTTGCTTTTTTCTCCAGAATGCTAAACAAAAGTGAACATAATCACTCGGCGATAGAAAAAGAAGCTTACGCTATCGTCGAATCGCTGAAGAAATGGCGTCATTTTCTTATCGGCAAACCCTTCCGGCTTATCACTGACCAAAGATCAGTATCTTTCATGTTTAACAATAAACTAACGAGCAAAATAAAGAATGAGAAAATACAACCCTGGCGTCTGGAGTTGGCGCCATTTAAGTATGACATTATATATCGTCCAGGCAAACAAAATGATGCAGCGGATGCACTCTCACGCGTATGCAGCTCAATATCGACACGAAATGAAAAGTTATATTCATTGCACAATGATTTATGTCATCCGGGCATAGCACGAATGACCCACTGGCTTAAATCAAAGAATCTACCATATTCTACGGAAGAAATTAAAAACATGACTAAGTCGTGTAAAATTTGCTCCGAAATAAAGCCAAGATTTTACAAACCTACAATTGATCCAGTTTTGATAAAAGCTACGTCGCCTATGGAGAGACTGAGTATCGATTTCAAAGGACCAGTACCTTCTAATACGAGCAATAAATACATTCTTACAGTAATAGACGAATACTCACGCTTTCCATTTGCATTTCCGTGCCCAGACATGAACTCTTCAACGGTAATCAAACATTTAAATGAAATTTTTATGCTATTCGGTATGCCGTCTTATCTACATTCAGATCGAGGAACCTGTTTCATATCTACTGAAGTAAAGAACTTCTTAAATTCACGTGGTATTGCGTCGAGCAGAACTACACCTTATAACCCAAGAGGAAATGGACAGGTTGAACGTTTTAACGGAACTCTTTGGAAATCAGTGCAATTGGCTCTACGTTCGCAGAACCTACCAATAGAAAATTGGGAAAAGGTTCTAAACCAAGCTTTACATTGTATCAGATCTTTGTTGTGCACAGCGACTTGTTGTACGCCGCACGAAAGAATGTTTACACATACCAGGCGGTCATCGAATGGAGTATCTATACCTACCTGGCTGACGGAATCAGAAAAAGTATTAATGAGAAAATTTAATCGTACTAACAAGTATCAACCTATTGTTGAAGAAGTGACTCTTCTGCACGTAAATCCAGACTACTCCTATGTTCGCTATGAGGACGGTCGAGAGACAACTGTTTCCAACCGACATTTAGCACCATTGAGCCTAGATAGTCAGATAATGGTAGATGAAACAACAAATATTGAGGCTCTTAACGAAAACTCCAATGAAGTGGAGGACCCTAATCCTACATCTCAAAATTCTGAAACCAGATCTTCTGATTCCGAAAATGAGACTGAAGACATAGACCACCCTGAACCTCCAGCGGACACCGAACCAGAGATTCGAAGGTCTGCAAGAGTGCGACACCCACCAGCCCACCTCGAGGATTATTTTCAAGGCTGATAGAATGTCATAATATTAACTCTTTAGTTTCTAATGTCTATTTTGAACTTT